GAACTATTCGTAGTTGGCAATTTCAATTATCACATACACATGAAGACTCAAAATAAAGAGGCCTATTAAATAGGATCGCAGTCTAAGTCTCTGGTTGCTTTCCTCTGTCTAGTCCTCTTGAGCTATTCCCTATAATATTGAAGATAGCGAGGTGAGTACAACCACTTAGTAACCAAGGTCTAACTAACTCATACTAGTACATGTCAATTAATTTAAATATAAGTGGCAAGTACAATAAATTTCCAAACCATGTAAAAATGTTCAAGAGCATAAATTCACATTTTCAGGCATAATAGCACATACTCGTGAAATAATGCTTTTAACAGCTTTCATATAGGAGAGAGAGTTTATCACACAATCAATTGACATATACTCGCAAGGGATTAAGACTCAATTCATAATTCTCATCATTAAGGTCACAATACAGACAATCATGTGCCTTTTTTCAGTATATGCATGATTATACCTCCCTTATAACATGAAACCATGGTTATAGCACAAGGATAATCTATAATCCAAGACTTCCCTGACCTAAATACTTGTGAGAGGATTCCCCACCTAAGGCTTATCCTCACTTGTGAAACACGATTTCCCTTATTTTCTCATACTATGGGGTGTTATTCTCCCTAAACTAACTTTCTTGTTGAACCAATGGATAGATAGCTAGGTTCAAGTCCCTTGTTAAACCAGTAGGACAGTCCCTCATTGAATAAGTGGGATAATAGGTATAAAAACAATCTGGGCAACCTATCAACTCGAATGAGAGCCTTATTTCTTTCAAAAGGTTTGCCACGATCACAATATTAACAATCATGTGTCCTAGCACAATCATACATAAAAACTCATAATAATAATAATAATAATCAATTCATATAAGGGAACACAATACTAACAATCATGTGTCCTTTCAAGTTATACAAGACCACAATAATAACAATCATATATCTATATAATGACATGCATGACCAATTCCATCCTTATATCTTCCCAATACTCCCAACATAAAATTGTTAGCTATTTAATAGGATTGTCTATTCAATCAGACTACTCAAGCCTTTCACTTGTGAGGAGCTGCTCAATTAAGGCTATTACACCTACTTATAAGTCACAGTTTTTACCAAAACTAACAACTATGAGGTGTCATACTGTTAAGCTAGCCTTCTTATGGATAGATGAAGACTAGTTAGATTTGAATCCCTTATTGAACTAGTAGGACAATCCCTCAAAGAATAAATGGGATAATATAAATAAAGAGGCAAGCCATTGAGCTTCGAATGGCAACCATACCATGTAAATTTAGAAATCTCTACTCCTCTTCTTAAGCAAACTCTCGCCTCAATGGTCATGCAATGCACATATGCTTAGCTTATAATATGTATACACTTATCCATCAACCCTTAGCATACAAATTCTCAAGTATTACATTAAGGGTTAAAGTATAAATATGCCCCTAAAGTTTTTCTGGAGGTACATTTGGTATTATAAAGTATTTAGTGGCCCAATTTTACCCTAATGTTTTTCAAAACAGTACAAATTTGCCTTGAACTAATACTTTGACCACATTGACCATTTATTTTGACTTTTTGACCATTAAATGCCTAGCTAGCAAGCCATATGAGATTCCTTTTTTGAAAATGAATTTCTTTTTTCTTTTTAAATGAAGACCATGTGTTCAATTGTTTACTCGTCCTTTCATTTCTTCATCATCTTCCCAAAAATGAAACAACCATAATGTAAACCCAAACAAACAAACCATAATACAAATCAAAACAAACAAAACGTAATGCAAACCATAAATGAACAAACAAAATCAAACAAGAAATGAAACTCCTTAAGGGGGCCTAGTTTGAACAGATAAAATCAAACCAAAAATAAAAATCATAGTGCCAGCAATCAAATTAATCTATGAAAGTTTGAAAAAAAATCACAATGCCAGGAATCAAATATGGGGATTGAAGATGGATGTGGCAAAAATGATGAATAATTATAAAAAGAACTAAAGAAGGCAAAGAACTTTTACCAATTTCATTATAACTCAAAGAAGGTAAAGAACCTTTATCAATTTTAACACCAACAAAATCAAAGCCAAAATCTTGCAAAATATTTCAATTCGCATAAGCAAAATCAAACCTACCAGTAAAAGCAAAGCGAAAATCAAAGAAGGAAAAATCAAACAAGCACAAAATAGCAAACGCAGGGATATGATTCATTTTCAACCCAAATCGATGGAAGCAGGGACGTGACTCGTCTTCAACCTAGATCAACAAATGCATGCATATGACTCATCTTCAATACAGATCAATGAATGCAAGGATCTTGTAAACACTGGCAGTACTCACCTGCTTCAGAGTTTAGGATCACACAAATCAAAGGCGAGAGAATGAAAGAGAGTGAAAAATCACACAAATCATAGGCGAGATTGAGAACAAGAATGGAGAATCACACAAATTAGGTGTGAGAGCAAGAAAGAGAATTAATAATCACACAAATCAGAGGCAAGAGTAAGGAGAGTTGAGAAGAGTCAAGAGTGGGAAGAGCTAAGAGAGAGGTGAAGGAGGAAGGGAAATAGTGAAGAGAAGGGTCTCAAGAGGCTGGGAGAGTGAACTAAAGGCGAGAGTAGAATTGAAGAGAAGGATAGAAGAGGTGAGAGCTTACATGACTAAATCTGGTGAGATGAGGAAGAAGAACAGGCATGTGATGTAAGGTGGGATAACGAGGAAAAACTGATGAAGCAAGTGATATGGTTGCCACATTTAAGGTTTAATGGTCAAAAAGCTTAAGTTAACAATCAACTTAATACTTCTATCACAACAAGGCACATTTGTACCTTTTTGAAAGATGTCAGGATAAAATTGTGCCATTAAATTCTTTATGATACTAAATACGCCTCTGAAAAACTTTAAGGGTAAATTTGTACTTTAACCCTTAAATTTATTGCATGCATATTCAATCATCAAATTTACTCACATAAATTTCTATCCATAACATATATTCACTTTTCACAATTTCAACATTTTCTTCTCAATCTCATTCACATCACATCATCATCATCACATCATATTTCTCATGCATGTTCTCATGTTTAAGCTTAAACAAGTCATTTATCAACACTTTCACATACAAGATCATATTACCATGACTTAACCAATAATTTATGCCATATTTGCATTCAATACATGTTCAAAGCATACTTTTCTTTTCTAAAGTAAGTTATAAATAATTATAACTTACTAACAAACAAATATACAAATTGAATTTTTTCTTGTTACCCTAAATTTTTTAGAGGTCAAAGGTTTTGCCCCTCAAAATAATTACTTCTAAAGCTCTCATCAAGCTTGTATAGTGTCAAGAAATGATTAATCTACAATTAGAGATTTCAACTCTTGATTCAACACTTTCAAAACCCCCAACATTTCAATTTCTCACATACATGCTCATTGGATTTATTGGCTTCCTTTAGCTCACTCTAATATCATTAAGCTCTCAAACCACCATTAATGGCGATTTAACTCCTCCAATGACCTCATTTAATGCTATTTTTGGCCACTTATGGCTTCTAACCACTCAACACTTATAAAGCCATAAGTATTAGGTCTTAATAACTTAAATAACTCATATTAACTCTATTTAAGTCAATGGATTCGAACCTATAACTCTATATGTCCGAAAATCACTTCCACAACTCAATCTTAACTCAAAATCCAGAGACAAATGGAAGAGAAAAGAAGAAGGAAGCTTGGTACACTTACCTTGACTGTTATCAAGTTCCAAATTGCTTATAATCCTTTAAAGTAACAAGCCTTAGTAGAGCTTCACATGCATTCTTCATTTTCCCCTTTATTTCTTTTCTATTTTCAAACTAATTCATGCTCTTATTTTTGTCAGAAATTGACCATGTACCGCGGCGCATGCTATATGCTCCACAACATGTGGTATAGAGAGGAGTCTTGCATTTATGTGACCTATAAGCCACAGCATCTTACGCACACATCACAGCATGTGGCATATAAACGCTCTCCCTCATTTTCCTCCTTTATTAAGGTTTGAGTCTCCAAACCCCTCTCCAAACCTAATCTTAAGATTGAAATCACAATCCAAAACATCCATTAATTATATATAACCACATACCATGTTAATTTATTTAATTAACCTCATTTAACTTAACTAATTGAGGGTTAATTTTTCTAGAATATTACAAGCCACAGCGAGTATTTCAGCTAGTAATTGGCTGTGAAGAAGGTACTCCTAGCCACAATAAACTCGTACAGTTTTCTTAAATGACTGTTTGCCCTTTTATCATTGTTTTTTCAATGCTAAATCTTGTATATCATGTTTCTGCATATTTTTAACTACTCTTAATCTTGAATGATTAAATTATACTATTTGATTCTTAATGATTTTGGGGTTCAATCTTTTGGTCTTCTTTAGAGATAAATATTCTAGTTTAGATATGGTTAATCCTTTTCACTAAGGGTTGTTAGTTAATGGAGTTAATTAGGGTTAAGGATGAAAATCATTACATTCTCCATGTATACAATGCTTCAAAAGATATAAAGAAAGGCTTTAATTAATCCAAAAATAGAAAGGCATGGTTTTGAAAAGCAAATATAACATTTTACTACTTTATTATACATCAACAAATCTTTTACCTTTCAAACGGACGTTTAAAATTCAGTAATTTCCCTCAATTTTCAACCAGACCCCTGTGGTTAAGAAGTTTGCGAGTCCCTCCTAGTGCTTTTAAATGGTTACATTATCCTCACTCTCATTTTTATTCCGATCGGAGAACATCATCCAAGTAGTAAGAACTCTAAAAAAACTCAATCTTTAGCTCGAAATTCGAAACATTTCATTCTCAACTCATGTTTTATCCAAGTATTCAGTAAAGATCTTTTAATGCAGAGCCGAGCAAGTTGATTTGGCTTATGAAATTATAATTTTTAAAAAAAAAAATTATTACTCCAGGTATGCATGAAACAACATATCCAATACAATCCACCTGAAAAATAAATAGAATAAAATGACATCTCCATTGACGGCTGCATTTTTCGCTCTCTCTGATACAATAGAAAATTACATGATGATACAATGCCGCCCTTCTGCTTCTATACAAAATCCCCCTATAATTGCATAAAAAATAGTACAAGAGGCTTTTTTTTTTCTGAAGTAAAAAATAAAAATTCCCTTCTACACTTTACATGATCTAAACATAAGCTGAAACATCACTACCAAAGATGTGATCTAAACATAAAGAATATCCTAGAAATCCCTAGTTTCAATACCAGCTTCAGCTTCAGTTAGGCTATCGTCATTCTCATTCAACAAATAATCACACAACTCTAAAAGCTGATCCGCAAGAGGAGGAATTCCTGGGTTTCTCCCGTCGTTATATTTGTGGGCATTATACGCAATCTGCCACACATCATGTCTAAAATCTTCCCGGCTTTTGTACTCCATATTCCTCACCCTATCCCTGATTCTTGAAAGATCCATTGGCCTCTCTATAACGTCCAGGTAGTCGGGAGCTTCTTTCTTTGACACGGGTTTCAAAAAAAGGTATGACAGGTCATACCGTTCTTTGAGTGCCTCGAGAATGCGCTCCAAAATATTTGCCAAACCAACCTACAGGAAAGTTAGAAGTAACAGACATCATGCTAAGTGGAACACGAACTTAGTACCCAGGCATCTGCCACACCCATGCTAGTAATCCCACGATTGACATGCACATGACGGAAATGTGGTTTACATTTTTACATGAAAAGAAGTTAAATCTTGACAAGTTTGCAGATTTTTGAAGTAGAGAAATGTACCTCCCCCCCTCCACCTCTCCGCCGTTTTGGTGGCGGTGTGTATTCAGCTGCATATCTTCCCAACTCAACAACGGATCTTCTTTTTCCACTTCGTTCTCTTTCTAACACTCTGTTATTAATTCTTGTTCTGTGGTCATCTATATACTCATCTCTAAACTCCGCTTTTTTGTTCTTCTTCTTCTTTGCTTTTTGCCGTTCTTCTTCCTCCCTCTCTCTCCTAATATCTTCTTCGTATCTTTTTAACTCAGCTAACCTTTCTTGCTCTTTTAGCATCCTCATTTCTTCCTCATGAAGCCTCCTTGCCCGTTCCTCTCGAAGTCTTTCTTCTTTTCTCCTCTTCTCTTGTTCATCCCACCATCTTCTGTCCTCTTTAGCTTTATGTTTTGCCAGAGCGGCTTCAGCCCTATACATGGTCTCCTGTTTTCTGTGCTTCTCAAAATTTGACAATTCAACAATTCTTTTTGTTTTCCTGTGCTCAAATCCCATGTTTTCACCAGGACTGAACTGGTCTGGGTCAATAACATCCTTTGTGCGTTTTATAATAATTTTCTTTTGAGGTTGCTCCCTATCTGTTTCTGTAGGTGGCCGTATTATAATTGACGGCTTATGAGAATCGACTTGACTTCTACTTGGATCAGCTGGAGGGCGTATAGCAATAGCGTGCCTACGAGATTCAGCTTTCATATCATCTGGCTTCACTTTTTTGGGAATTAAGATTCTACTAATCTTAGCAGATTTGGCAGTTTCTGAGTCAGAAGTGACTGGCTTATCAGAGCTTTGTGTGGCTTCAATAACAGGTTTTTCAGTGGAGCTGCATTTGAACTTCACTGGAAGAACTTTTGCCTTCAAACTAGTTTTTTCTCCCTCAGAAGCCTCAACCAGAGCAATTTTCGATGAGCTTTTTGAAATAAGCTTCTTGGAAACGGCTTTTTGCTGGGACTGACCAGAAGGATCCAACAAGCTTGATTTTCCACCGGTTTTTTCCATGTCTATAGATTCAGGTTGTGCTTCCAGATCTTCACCATATTTTGGACAGTTCTTGTTTGTCCTCATGTGCCCAAGCTGATTGATAAATTGGGAAGGGGAAAAAAAAAAATACAAACTTTGAAACATCAAAAAACCAAAAAGGCTTCAACCAATTCAGGAATATACACACCTGACCACATGCCCCACAAACAAAACTTTCCCTTGATGGCTTTTTCTCCTTGAATACCTGGTTTTTCAGAGTAAATTTACGACGCTTCAGGAAGCAGAATTTCAAAGTAAACTGTATGTAAGAATATAAGAACAGATTTTCCTAAAAGCAAGTTATTAAATCGAGAAATAATATATTCATGTATAGTATGTGTACGTTTAGTCACTAGTTTACCAAACCTTCATGGTTCAAATTTCTTAACATGTTTCCAGAAATTCGTTGCCCCAAAATTGTAATTAACTACATATGGGTCTCATAGCTTATGAATAGTAGGGGGAGGTTTACAAATGGCTTACCTTTGGTGGTTCCCCAATATTTAACTTTATTTTCTTATTCGCCACACTAATAGGTGAAAGGTCACTCTTCTTAGTTTTATTGACCTTCACTGATTTGCTTTTTTTAGCAGAAATACCATCCTCCTGACCACAAAAAAAAAAAAAAAATATATATATATAATAGATTAGTAAGAGTTAAATCTCGTTAGAAGAAAGAACTTTGCATTGGAACTCCATGCAAACTATAAAATCAGTAGTAAGCTAAACAAGATCCACCAGACTGAACAATTAGCTAAGATTAAGTTTTCTACCTCCCTGATATTTGTAACAGTATTTTCTTTCAATATATTGGCTCCATCTAGTTGCACAGTATTAGTTATTTGCTTAACCTGTTCTGTGTTGTCAAAGACAAATCTTGACTGTAGTTTTGAAATTACTCCTGCTTCCTCCACAAGTTTAGTCTTTTTCTTTTTCTTCCTCTCATCTTCATCATCTGGATAAAACCGAGTGATCAACAATACATGAAAAAGTATAACAAGTACCATCATTGGTTGAGTTTAAAAACTAGTGATTCAATCACGAACTTCAGAAAATCACATCAGTAACCCTAAAGATCATTTGTTGCTAATTTAAAATCACATCAGAGTTTTGCAATATCGATCAATTTGAAATCTCACCATCCATAAGTAATCTGCATAGTTCAGCAGCCTCCGCAGCTTCATCTTCTATTTCCTCCTCTGCCTGGGCTAAGGTTGGACGTCTTCTCATTTTAAGACCCTTAACACCATCAGCCTTGTCACGTTTAAAATCATCGGTACCCTCTTCTCCCTCTTCACACTCTTCAGCATCAAGTAAATTTTCCAGATCACCAGCAAAAGAATCCAGATCACTGTTTCCTTCAGAATCACTCTCATTTTCATCACCATTCGCAGCTGAAAGGCTTTGACCTTGTCGGTCCCAAATCTCCTGGCACTTCTCCCTGGTCTGCTGTTGTAACTGAAGAAAGGACATTCGCTGGCCACGAGCATATTTACTGATAGTTGTTGGGTCAACCTTAACTCCAGATGCTGCTTGCTCACTTGAAAGTTTGCGTATCATAGCAATGCGATGCCACCTGGTTTGTTTTGCAATGACTTCCTCAGGAACATTGAACTTAAGAAGAACCTGGAAATAAGTGCATACTAGAGATTACATAAGATATAGAGGAAAAACAATTTCCTCATGATTGAGCAGAAGCAGACTTTTGACAGATGAGAAGCCATTGATGCATATTTATTGTTTTATTTCTACATTTATCTTTGTATGTGTGCAAGGCAAGTATTTGCTTCTCAAGACAATCACATGGTTATATGTGCAGGAGAAAAAAAAAAGCGATTGGTGTAACATCTGCACCAAAGGGAAAGAGACTGGAAAAAAGAGAGTATCAATATAGAAAATCAATTTCAGTTCTTCAATGTAGAAAATCAAATCAATGAAATACTTTATCTTACAGCAATTATGAAATTCATATATGTCAGTTCATCTTTTCAGATATGCATATCTAAGCTTTTTGCCAAATCCGTACCTTGTAGGTCAGTTCATAACTTGACATGATATTCATCTCAGCTTTGATTGCAACAACATCAAGAAGCACAATCAAGGCCCGCCACAAATAAGAGAAGAAAATCTCTCTTAATATTTAATAGGTTTTACATTCCACATGAACACATGCCGAAGCAAAACTAATAAAGGTGAAGGAAATATAAGCTTGTGGCAATCCTAACCAAATAGCTTAAGTTATTTTTGTGATACGAACAAGCACAAACAAACTTAGCACGGTGTTGTAGCCTAATGGCCGCAAGATACAGTAGAACCATTTAAAAACAAAAAACAAAAGGAGCGAAAGAAAGAAAAAAGATGGACACCAGGTCTTCGAGGTTCAAGAGTCCAAGTCCAAGCAAAAAAATGGAAATTGAGACACAGCCTCTAAGACTTAAAAACACACCCCCAAAGCTAATAAAAAAATTTAACTACAAAAAAAAAAGTCAGTAGAAAATGTTGGAGAATAGAAATGCAACGTCTAAAAGCACTAAGAAAAATGAAGGGTACATAAGCTGAGGCAATCCTTACGAAATACCTCAAGCTATTTAGTTGATACGGACAAACTCAAGCACAAGCCTATACAAGAGTTAACACACACCTCTCGTGCAGCTTCCATGCTTAATCTGCGTAGATCAGCATCTGTTCCAGTGACAGTGGAACCACCCCTGGCAGCAGCTGCTTTCTTCTTCACCACTGCACTTGACACTGGTGCCTTTGGAGGAGCCCGAGCATAGCTGAAACCCAAACCACGCCCAGATGGATCACCAACACCGGTGATTTCCATTCGCTCAATATTTTCCTTTCCCTGCCAGAATGTTAGAAATAAAAAAATTCTTAGAGTCATGACTGTCACTTACCAGAATAAAAAGATACTAAACCTCACTACAACCCTGTAGAATAATATTCTTCATAGTGAGAAATAGATATTAATTGTAATAATCCATCTTCTGAAAAATTTCTTCCAAATCATCATAAGTACAACCAATTACTTATGTCCACAGAAATGCATTTCAGAAATATCTTCAAATGAGTGAATGAATTTTTAGTGCACACAAGAGGTACATCAGCAATCCTTTGGGTCTTGGCAAAAGAACCAGAGTAAAATGCCATACCACGTTTCCATACTTTAAGCATCAAATTCTGGTATATCAACATGATAATCCCTTTCACTATAAAATAATAAAAAATATAGCCATGAACAAACATTGCTACAAGTAACGTACAGTGTCAAACTCTGGATGACATCATATATATATATATATATATGTCTATCTTACAAGGACAACCAGCTATGGAATTATTCTATAAGAAGCATTTCGTCCTCAGCAACCACTTGTAAAGGGACAAAATTGAAGCAAGTAGAATGCTTGAAAGACCACGATAAATCATCCCGAAATCAGATCAAACAATAATCACCTGGCTTGTGCAGGCAACAAATTGTTACTCAGGTTCCATGGAGTGATTTGCAGCTCCCTCTCAATGTGAGATGCGGCAGCCAGTGCAATTGCTTCACCAGGAAGCCGACTCACAGCAGAAGATATATTAGTAGGATGAGTTTCAGTAATTCCCAAATGTTTTAGACGGTAGAGACCAGCTTGCATGCTTTCATAAGCACAAACCTAGAAAGAAATAAGAACGGATAGAAAATAGAAAGAGTCAAACTAAAAGGACCAAGATTTTTTCATCGCCATGCACCAATTAATGGCGCGCACACAGAAATTTAATAATGTTTCATTTAGCACGTCTCAGAGAAAATAGAAAAGCACAATCGAAGAACAATTAAGAACAGCTACTACATAAGAAACTTCTAATTAAAATATGAGATCAAATAACAGAAGCCTCAAAGTAACTAAATCATAAAAAAGTTATCATGCAGTAAGGAACAGGCATGAACGTAATTAGTAGAAATAATACAATTAGTATTCATTTTTACCATGAAAGAAAAACAACAAAATCAGGCACTTATTGAATAAATTTTACCATGAGAATCCAAACTCCTGCCCAGTCTTAATAAATGATTTCTTCATTAATGACTGCAGTGTGTTTAAGCTGAGAGATGATATTCTTCATCAACAAAAAACTGATTTGCATATGGTATAACTTACAAGCTCTGGCGTCACCATTTTTCTCAATTCATCCTCCGACCACATGTGAAAATTTCGCTTTTTAACCAAAATTGACTGTCCGTTTGCTCCCTTCTGCAATAATTTAGATTGAATAAGAAACACTCTGGTAGAAAGAAAACATCAGAGACAAGAAAGGATGAAGCAGAAAACATTGGCGTGAATATATGCTGATAACTTGACACATTCTATCAAGATTTTATTGCTCATACATTTTTTTTTTAACTTGAATTTAAGCCATCAATACCTGTAAAATAGCATATTCCTTAATTTTCTTGCGAAAAGAAGCTTCTGATAGGTAAGGAAACTGTGACAGCAGCTCATCAACACGAATGTATGGAGGTAAGCGACGTTTCTCTGCAGCTTGAAATTCACGGCACATGTGCACCAGCAGCCTATTCATCATATATGTCTGAAGATTCTTACTACCAGGTGACAATACCTCAATAAGAGGCTCCTGCAAGGAGTAATGGGCGGAAAACATCAGATCCACTCACAACTACCTACGAATTGAAAATCTTTCTTCCATAGATTCCTAGTGATGCTTTGGTAGCCAACTTGCAGTAACCACCAATGCAAAACTAGTCATGAGTTAAAGAACACCTAATGACAGGTCAAATCATCCCAGTAGATTGAGGATAACAGCAGAACAATAAAACCAGCTAGAGCTCAGATGAATGCTATTTGCCAAACCATACTTCAGTTATGGTGAGAATTCTCTCAATTTCTCAATAAATGATTTTCAGAGAAATAACAGAGTTCCATTATTAACTGATGACAAACCTGCTGTCCAACAACATTAATTTTATCAATCCGTCTTAACGATAGCTTTCCCTTTGATGACCGAACTAGCAGGTAGTCAGTTAGTGGCACTTTATGAGGAAATATGGGTGCCCTGTACATGTTTGTCTCCAGTGATGACTGACTACAGCCAGGTTTCAAATCTCCAAGAAATGGAGATTTATCAGCAGGATCCAGTGAAATCACATGCCCCAAACTACTATTTGTGTTGCGTAATAAAGAGCCACCTTGATCATCTGGAGAACATTTTTGATAGTACGTACAAAGTCTGGCACCCATTCCAGCATTGCTCAGTAATAAAGGTCTTTCCTCACAGTACCTACAAATAGAACATATCAATGGAGCTCTTGAATGAAGTTCCCATGCTTCTCATTCATTTATCTGTGCACACTAACTACCAAGGAAAAACAAAGTAGAAAATGAATGAACACTTTAAACTTCAGATTGAAGGGGGGGAGAAAACAGAAAAGACGTTAGATAAATTATTTAAAGGAATATATTCAAGTGGGGAGGAAGATAACATGATATACACCCAAAATCATTTAAAGAAACAACCACCTCACATCCATGATATATTCAAGGGCAAACACTATTTTATATACTTTGCTCAAGTTTTGTTATAAGTCTCTACACTTTTTTTGGTGTTTCAGATCCTTATACTTTTCTCCGTTTACAACATTCCTTAAACTTTCAGAGAAACGTTGATGAAGCATAAATGACATTAAAATTGCTGAAGTGTTCACTAATACCATCAACTTATGCCAATGTGTTAGATGGGTATTGGGATAGACCTTTTAATAAGCAAAATAAATTTTAAAAAAAAGGAACATCGGATAAAAAAAATGGCTGACATGTAGTTAAAAACACTCTAACTTAAAATGTCTAAAAAATATCTAAAAAAAATTTAAAAGTATTTTAATTATGATTCTTAAACTTTAAGACCCGTGAATTTTTTTAAAAAAAAATTTGAGTCTTCCACATTTTTTAAGTAGTCCAAAAATATATTTTACATTTTTATAATATAAAAATAACTAATTTTCAAGTAAAAATTGTTTTTTTCTTAAGTTATTCAGGCCCAAACAAGCCTTGCCCAAATTTTTCACTTTAAAATTACTTATTGTTATATTATAAAATATATATATATATATATATATTTGAGATACTTAAATGATGTGGAAGACTCAATTTTTTTTAAAGTTTAAAAATCGAGATAAAAATATATTTTAAATATTTTTTGAGATATTTTAAAGATATTTTAGGTTGAGAATTTTCTCAACTCTAGGTTAGCTTTTTTTTTTTTTTAATATCTGATGTACTCCTTCCATTAAAAAATATAAAGCATTTTTTGAGGGGTTGAATGTTCAAAAATATAAGAAATTTTTAGTTTTTTGAGACATAATCATTGCCTTTTTTTCTAAAAGTGCCCCTATTAATAATGACTTTATATTTATTGTAAGATGTTTAATAGGGGTAAATATGAAAAGATAGAATTAGCTAAAAAGTAAGTAACTACTTTATTGAGGGATGAGATACAGTTAAAAATTACTTACATTTTTTACAGGAGGGAGTAGCTTTTTTGTAATTTATTTTGCTTGATAAAAATCCGACCTAACATCCATTTAACACATCAGCACAAACTAAACAGTGTTAGTACACATGACAGCAATCTTAATACTGTGTGTGCCACGTCAACATCCGAAATTATAAGGACCAACCGTGCAGACAGAGAAAAATATAGGGACCTACAACATCGGAAAAAAAAGTGTAGGAATCTATAACAAAAACCCGAGTAAAGCATAGAAATCAAATATAGTGTTTTCCCTACATTTAAAATGAAAAAACAACTTGCAAATCACAAACAAGAAACTAAATGGAAAAACAAAGCATTATCCTTGCAGATAAATAAAACTGTAGCACAGTAATAATTTCAAGTCACTTACTCCATTAGAAAAACATGTCCATCTTTAACAGATAGATCAGACTTTTTCTTGAATGCCCCAGGTGGACGCAAGGATTTGTTCTCACCGGGAAGCCTCTGTGCCCTAGGCCACAAATGTATCTTTGTACGAACAAGATGCAACAAGGAATTTGGTCGAACATTTTGTGCAGCAAGTGATTTCTGATCTTCAAGTTCCTTCCCAAGATAAAATATTTTCACTGTTTCCAGTGGCTTAAAATCTACAAAAAGTAAGGGAAAAAAAGTAAGCGATATATAGAACAGGTTAACCTGAAGAGTAAAATAATGCCAAGAAAAGAACTAAAAAGTGAACAATTATAGCCAAAAGAAACATATCAGGATCTCAAGATGTTAAGAAATATTACAGAAGGCATATTTGTTGAACAAAATTCACAACCTAGCTTTTTAGATGCTTTTGCTTTAATGGAAGAGAGAGTTTCTTCAGCATCAACATGCAGCTTACTCCCCTTGCCGCCCAAGCTCTTCATGATAATTTTCATCGGTCCTTGCGTTGGTAGTTTCCCTTGTTCTTTGACAGCCATCTCATTGTCATGGGGATACCACGAAGCTCTTGGTCGGTGGAAATTAGCAATATCTTTGCTGCAATGGAGCTAGTAAGACATCATAAAGGCCAAAAAAATATATGGAAAAGAAAAATAACTTTGCACATTAATGCAACCTATCATACTAAGCCTGACAATTTTTTAAAAATAGTATGTGACAAAACACGAATCAAAACAAAGGCTTTGCAAGAACTTGATAAGTGCACGTGAAAATACATAAATACATCATTTAGCAACCGACAGATCATACAATTACAATGTACTAATCTATTGAGATGTAATCTTCAATGCCATGGAATACGCAGGATGAAAATCATTCAAGACCATCTTACAGTCCAAACAAGTGAAGATAAAACAGATTTTGAAAAGCAATAATGAAAAATAGCTGCAGATATTGGGAGAAAATCATTCCAATACTCAAAACTAAACCTAAGATAGTAGGCCCCACACCCATAGAAAGCACTAGTGCCGACACTGCACTTCTCATAAAATTAGAGCATTTTGCAGTGTCTCTCTTAATCACACATGTAGTTGATAAATTATCCATGTGAAACCCATCACCTTTGCATAAGATTAACAAAAAAAAAAAATCCAACCTTTGATCTTCAACAAGTTTATCTAAAATCTGCAGCTTGCCCTCTAGGTTGATTCAATGGAATAATAATATTTTAGTGGGGATCAATATTAGTTCTACTTCTTTAGTTATTCTCCCAAGCAATTTTGGCTCAAGATTTTTAGAAGTATCATGAAAATTCATATAAAGAAAAAGTTTAAATTACTCCAAAAGCACAAAATGAAACCCTCCAATTTAGTGTTTACCAAAACAGGGTATATATGGAGACAAACCGGCATTAAACAAGTTATCCAGCTACATGTAAGTAGTGAGTTGAGTTCATTAAGAATTTTTTTCCCCTAAATTCTAAGCAATTCTTCTTAACAATGAAAAAAGGCGGGTGAGAGATGTAACAAAAGAGCAAAGACAACATCCTTACCCCCACTGACCTCTGCCCCTTCAAAAAACAACAGAAAAGAAAATGAGGGCCAAAAAGAAACTTACTTGCTCAGTTTCAATTTCATTGTCTGAAGCTTCAGCGCAGGCTGAGAGTGAAAAACTTTTACACCATGAGCTGAGCGCTTTTTCGAATTTGATTTAAGTTGCTGGGAAGTTTTCCTGTTTGAATAATGTTTATCATTAGCAATGGATCGCCATCCATACTGATTTCCATGTCCAGGTAGCTCAGAAGAATCTCCACTGCTCGATCTTAAAGGACGAGTTAAAATCATTGCTCCTGCATGCAGGCGGAGATGCCTACCATCTTTACTATCCAAAACTTCAAAGTGCATTTGATCATCCTGAAGATCAAAGATAAGCTTTGGTTTCACAATAGGTCTATTGACCTCCTCCCATATAATGTTGTCTAACCAAGACCCTTCCATCATATCCTGGTTTTGCAAGGCAAGTTTGGTGCAATGCTTTGCTAGTCCATTTTGATTATGCTCCTCAGATATATTCTCCCTTCTGTCATCGGCAGGATTAGAGGCATCCACTTCAGGCCTGGATTCTAACCTCAATAGTTGCGGGTGAAATAGGCTCTTTGACAATGAATTGGCTTTAGCTCCTGAAGAATCTCTTGAGCCAAAGGGCTCTAATGAGACAGGAGAGCTGCACATGAAAACACCATGATTTCTTTCTTCCAATTCCTTCGGCAGCTCCAACTGGATATTTTGCATCCCACTTTCAATTTCTCCATCACACCCTAGAGGTCCCAAAGTAGGTCCAGAAATTTCAGAGCTCTCAAGATTATTGTCACTTACAGCAGGGGAATTTCCCCAAATGATTTCATCTTCCCAGTCTTGCTGATCAAGGGGATAAAAGTCAGAGCAAAAGAGAGAATGCCCTTCCCAAGAAAGGCCTGAGCAATCATGTTTCATTGGTTCACCACTAAGACAAGAGTGCTTCTGTTGTGGTCCATCTTTCACGGACATTGAGGCAACCCCATGAAGAAATCCAAATTTTGACAAGTCTGAGTCTGCATTACTGCTTTCTGATATACCATTTTGAACTACACAAGCCTGTTTATTTAGTAGGAGACTATAAGAAGAACCTCTGAAGAATGTCTCTTCATCCTCTTCTACAATATCAGATAAATTAAAGGACTTGTATCTCTCTGGGAAAAACAAAAGGATCAAAAGAAACAAACAATTAGGACAGAAAGCAAACACATACAAAGCAAGCATATTCTTACATCACCTAAATCTCACCAATATTAAATCTAACTGCAGTCCATTAAAAGTTCAAAACTGACACTATGCCAACGCATATTTATGTGTATGTTTTTGGTTCATCCCACTGCTGGGAGTACCATACTGACTCAGGTCTGCAAATAAAGTCTATGCAAAATATTCCCAATCTATAGGTAATTACCTCTAGGAATAGAAGGTCGTTGCTCTCTCCTCCCTCCCTTTCTCAAAGGTTCATGAATACCAAAAATCTCAGAGAACCTTAAAATGACCATCCCATCTTCCACACATAAAACAGGCAAAGGAGTAGAACCTTTCAAAACTTCAGGCCCTTCCTGTTGGTATCATCAATCAAGACATTAACAGATGAACAGAAATTTAACCATGATAGTTCTATAATCCTGTAAAAAAAAACAAAAAGAAAAGGAAAATTCATCTATAAGAACCAATAAACTGCAACTTAGAATTTTGCATATTTTGAAATTCAGAAAATTTGCATGTACAATACACTTCTGACGAGAGAAGAAAGGAAATTAATGCAATTGACAAATAAGTTAACAGTTAGAGCCAGAGGAAGGGCTCGGATCCTTCTGCAGGTGTGTGTGGCAAAGTCTAAACTAACAAAAATCTGGCCCTCAACATACAATCTTAGATACTGAAGATCCTGAAATAGTATTTACACTAACATACCATCTAACATTAAAGTCAATAAGGCTAGGGGAAAAAAGATGAATAAGGTCAAAGCAGTAGTTCTTTTGATATAGGAATTGGTACATTTATAGATGCGGAATACTATGATTTTCAGCTTGGGATATATTCCTGCTCATCTTTTGTGAACAAGTCTGCTTTCAGCCTCTTGCTGGGCTACGGATTTTAAACATGTTTCTTTGTTTTCTTTCTTGGTTTTGTATTTCTCAGCAAGGGAGTTTCCTTCCGCATTGTGACACTTTTCTTTTGTCAACAAATTATTCTTTAGTCAAAAATAAAAAAAATGCAATTAATCATCCACCTTTCTTTCTGTTCTGTGGAAAAAAAAAAACTTCTAGATATTCTAAGCAATTGATATCAATTTTTTCACATAAATAAGAAAAAGAAAAGAAATATAAAACCTTATTAGACAAGTGAAAAATACAACTTGGGAGAGAGGATTACAAAGAAAGGGGGGGGACCAAAGTGGCTCGATAATACATCACTGACCAACCTCTACATATCAGAAATTAAGACTTCCTCGAAATAACAAAGGGCTCAACAGCAAAGAAAGGTGATAAACACAACCTTCTATGTTAACTTACTTAAGGACACGATAGGCATAAGGTATCTCTCTCCAACAAAATCTCCTTATATCTTAAACCAAAGCTTTTATAAATTTAAATTTCCAAGCCATTTATTGGGACCTATGGGGTTCAATTCCCGTTAAGAAACAGCTTGCATGCTTACAAGTTACAAGTAGCTTAGCTCAACTTTATCAAAAGAGCCAATTTCAACTGTCCCCAAAAGGCAGCTCATGCACATAATTTAAACGAGCTCATGCATCTTTTTCAGTCCTCAATAATTGAAAGGATCTTCTGATCAATCCAGAGTTCATTTCGATTCCATTAGTAATGAGGATTCGGAATATCACACATTGATCAATCAAAAAGAGATTCAACAACTAAAAGAAAGATCGATTCTTTGTTGGGATCCTTCCTTTCTTCAAACGGAACGAACAGAGATAGAATCAGAGCAATTCCCTAAATGCCTTTCTGGTTATATTCTCTCATCTACAATTAATCTGACATTAATTGAACTTGGAGATACAATCAAGATGGAGCATCAAACTAGTTTTCATGGTCATGTAATCATCAAAAAGTACACGACTTAAACATCATGCAAGATAATAGACATCAAATGTCCAGAAAAGAAGACAATAACAAACATTAAGGCATTAGCGATGAAGGACAAATGAACTAACCTCCTGGAGCTTTTGCGAGTCAGTATCCAATTCTTCAGACTGCTGTGAGCCATCATGTGATTCAAGTTCTAGACTTTTCTCTCCTTTAGATGCATCAATAAGAGACTCTACCAGCTCTGCTGAAAGTGAAATCCTATGATAAATGAACTGAACCAACTTTCTTTCTTTCTATAAGAACTGGACCAACTTTTTAAAATATGTAGAAGGTACCGCAAACATCAATAACTAGGGCATCAATCATATCATAAACAACCAGAAACAGATCAAAGTCCCACAAAAAACAAATACCAGTTGAAGAGATGTTATTAATTTCAGAAGTGTTATTCACCAAGTCCTCCTCCTTTTCAGATTCCTCATCATAATTTTCATCATCAAAGACAGAAGATCTGGATTTCAAAGCTTCAAGAGAGGCTTCAGCAGAAAAAAAATCCTTTTTGGGCAATAAATGTTCCTCTTCATTTGCAGCTTCAGTCTCTGGACCATCATACTCTTCATCAATATCTTCATAATCAACTGCATCTTCAGCTTTCTCACCATAGTCTAACAATTGAAGGATCCCAATGAGCAAACTCAAGAATTGGCAGAATATTAGAATATCAGAAACAAAACAAGATGGGCTACAGTTGTATTGAGTGTAGGTTGGCACTTTCACCACAGCTTTTATTTTCATAATTTAAGCATTTGTAGGAGTTACTAAAGTTGTAAACAACAAGTCTCATAATGAGAATCATGAGTTATTAGATGCAAAACAAGCCCTCCTTTTGTCACACAGAAATTGACACACGGTGTAAAACAAAAATCTCACTTTAAAAGTCAATCTGCCTCATCAACCAAACAAAAGGAAGAAAAGTATTTATTTTGCGCTTTCCAATAAATTACAACTATTTTGCCATTTTAGAAAAGAAATTCCTTTAATGAACCTTAAAGTTGTCCAACAAAATTTACCCAGGCGTGCTTACAGCTTTCTCTTATGTTCAATCAACCAAAAGACAAGCCTAAATCAAGTTTTCATGGTTTTCTATTAAAAAAAATTATTGAGAGCCAGAGGATCCGAATTTCAAACCAGCAGAGAATACAACCAGACGATAGAAATAAAAAGCATCAGCACAAAAGATATTCCCAAACATGCACTGGAGGCCTGCAAAAATAGCACAACTACACCAGATCTCAGCCCCTCCTTTCAAGAAATAATTAAATAACCTGAATGCAATACATCATTTCTATAAATGGAGACCCATCATTTTCTTTTAAAACCCATTTATTTGGCCTTCATATTTTATATTTTCACACAAAAAATAACGTACTGTTTATAAAATGGTGTAATCCACTGGTGAATGGAAAAATCTCTCCTTTCCTCCTCCAGAAACCCTAAATGAAAACCATGTATAGTTCAAATCACCTCAACCAGAACCCTCTAATCCCTAAAAAATGATAAATTCTTGTTTTTGACAGAATCAGGTCCCAAAAGCTACCATTCACCCCGGGTACTAGAAGCCAACTAATAGTCAATTGACACCATCTTGCTGCCAAAGTACAGTCATCGTCTTCACAATGTTGTTAAGTTCTACTTAACACTTAACAGCCATCACCATAACTTCAGACTAGCCTGCTGTTCCAGTCTACTCCTGTTCACTTTCTCTTGTACTAACTAGCACCAGCTACAACCACAAAAGTTTTCAGTTCTTGAAAGGAGATAAATTGCCGGTAAAAAATTCCATGAAAAAACATCAATATTAATCATCTCTCATCTTCCACTACCAATCAAAGAAAATTTTGCATATGGGAAATGTTCCTTACATTATATGCTATTTCCACTAAACATTTTCCAGAAGAAAGGCTTCAAGAGAAATAAAACAGGGGCTAAGCAATATCAGTGAATGAGTGTCAAACAAGAAGATACCAACAGAACATCAAAAACTAAATGATATAGTTTTCCCAACAGACAATTTCACCTTGTTCGACAATGTCTGGTGGTGTTTGTGGCGATTTTCCTGACAACTACCCAAAAAAGGCATCATTAGCAACAAAATAGAGGAAGAAGTGCTTCATCAACTCAAAAAATTGACAATTAGATTCTTGCTAACACTACCCAAAAGAGATGGTTATTTGAACTACAGAATAAAATAGCGCTGCCAGATTAAAATAATAATAAACAAGTATGCTTACATCTATATCTGTCAGGGAAGGACCCAGCTTGTCAGCAAGTGCAGAAAGATGCTCCTTTGCATCCTAGAAAGGAAATATTTTAATTTAGCACCAACTGAGTAGTTTTCAACTAGAACAAATTTTAGATAATACTGGAGTCTGGAAACATGACAGGAGCCTCAAACAAGCAAATAAACATTCCAAAATCAAATGAAAACAAGTCCCCCAAAAACAAGGATTTAGACACAATAGCATACTTTTTCCAGATAAAAGAAAGAACATTACTGGGAAGAGATAAAATACAATAAAGGAGAACAAGATTTCCAACAACAAAAAGGATGTATTGCAAGTATAAATAAATAAAGTGATACACAGACTGAGTCTTAGACATTTGGCCAAGCTGTTGAATCCCTCAACAAATTAATATATCAATATCATCATCATCATCAATCATCAATATATAAAAGTAATCAATCATCAATATATAAAAGTAGAATCCATACTATTGTTATTTTACCATACATAATTATAATTTGACAACTTGTTGGACTCTATGCAAATTTTGTAAAGTTAAAAATCCCGTATATTTGTACAGGGCTCTACATAGTTCAATAGACAAAGACCCTAAAAGAAATCATGAGACAGCATCAAAGCAACCATGAACATTATACCAAAAAGGGCCACAAATACAATTCCAGTGCATAAAGCCAAAGGAAAAAGGCAGAGATAACATATTTTCCAGCCACAAAAGACTTCCATCTTAGAGTATTGCCAATATCAAGCCAATGAATCAAAGACTGGTGTATGTGCACAACTTGCGAGCTTATTGATCGGTGTGCTTCTATATATAGGGCATAGCACAATGTATATGACTCAGAAGGAATTCAAATGAACTTTCTCCATTTTTATCCACTTTCTATCAAAAGCACCGGACAAAAAGCAGAGAGGAAGGAACCAGCAGAAAATCTAAAAAAAGGAGGAGGAGGAGGAGGAGGAGGAGGAAGAACTGTTCCATCAGGAAATATTATTTATTCTGAAAGACCTCAATCAACATGAAACCATTTTCAAGACGTTGTAATCCTCCAACACCGCCTCAAACTTAGTGTTTGGTTTGACAGAGGGGAGAGGAAAGATTTCAATTATCCCTCCAAATCCAACACCCCCCTTGGAGTAGAGGAATGGAACGGGAGGTCCCCTCCCCTCCAATTTTTTTTTTTTTTTAAACCAAATGTGGGAAGGAAAGTACCTCCTCTCCATTTTTCAACCAAACAAGATCCATTGTTGGCTCATTGATGGTCTTGAATTGCAAGTCTTAAGTGGTGTCGGAAATAGTCAATGCAAGCATAAAATTGCTCATGCCCCCTCCTTCCAAAGGACAAAGAAAACTTCAAAACCAAAAGAATCTCATGTTCTTTCTCCCAAAAACTTGGGCATGGAAATTTATCAATGAATATTACATGGATAAACTTATGTTCAAATAAATAAGCAAGGCAAAATTCTTTAGTGTCTTGCACTCATCCCATGCTATTCCAAACTACCTCAATTTTTTTAACCAGCTAACTTATCGGCACAAATCTCCAACAAATATATGCATATCTCTGTAATTCCACAAATATTAAGGGCACAACAATTAACCCTCCCCCACCCACCCCCTCATCCGTCTCAAAGGCATGGCTTCTATTGCAAAACAGTATAAATTAAACATATTATCATAACTTAAGCCAGATGGAGAGCAACTTAAGCCGTCATCCTAGCAACCATTTAAACATATTCTCATAACCAAATTAATAAAAACAGAATCATCACAATAGCATAAATGACCAGGGCTCACAAATAAACTTGAACTTTATAAACTAAGTGAGGAATCATGGAATAAGAATTGACAAATAAAGTGACAAGCAACATGCACATAACATATGACCATGCATGAGCCCAATTATGAACATACATAGATTTGAATATTGAGTGTGGTCCAGCGATGCACAAATACCTCATCAAGGTAATCGACATCAAGATCACCAGAATTGTCAACATTTCCAAACATGAATCCCAGCAAACGATTGCCCTTGCCAGCCTCCTCATATTCTTCATCATCATCTAACAATTCAGATTTTATAAAATGAATAAATAAACTATAAAATGAAGAAATTAAACTACGTTTAAAAATTACATATGCAGCTCACAGTGAATTTGAGGATAAGGATTTCAGCACATAGCAAGAGTTTGAAGTAGTATTTGAACCACTTTTAAAGAGTTTTCTGGAGAAAAATCCAAATAAGGGAGCACAGGCTGTTCACGTTGGAGTACCTTAATCCTCTTAAACTTTGAAAAAATCACATGTAAAGTGTTTTTAAGTTATTTAATGAAAGCGGGGAGCAAGCCTACCTAAAATAGAATAAAGGGAAATCATTAATTTGATCAATAGACAGGACTAGCTATGACGTGTGTGACTACAATACTGACAATTAGACTCTGGATGGCTTATTGCAGTTTTTGTTTCAATTTTTCCTTGCCTTACACCTAAGGAACTAATGAATCCTCACTCGTTGCCTTCACGGTGCTAGCTGCTATATCATCAACAGAATAAATTAAATAATTAATTAATTATACAAATATTGAATAGCAGCTAACAAAGTCATTCATATTACCCAGCAAAAATTCAAAATAAGTGCTGATTTCCTTACAGGCTTTCGGCTTTCATATACTTTAAATTCAATCAACTCACCTTCATCCCTCCCATCTTGTGAGGGGCTATCGGAATCATACTCCATGTCGTATAGATAGGCCTACATCACAAGATCAACACAGGACTCAGTAGCTTGCAAAGGCACAGCCAGAGCGCAGGGCACTTTCAGAAATGACAAAGAAAATAAAATGATTTCAGATTGAAGAAAAGTGCTGTGAAAAGTCGTCAACTTTCGACAGAGAAGGACGCAAAACCCCACCTTCAATGTAATAAGTTCGACCAATAAGCTTTAGCCTTTTGCTTCTTTCTTAATCCCGTTTTACGTCTTCCTCTTGCGCCTCCTGTGCTGGTGGCTGTCTACCCCAATGACAAATTGCCACGTTAAAACTCCTAAATTTTAACTTAATTATCGCGATTCACTTTTAGTTTTCGTTAATTTGTCATGTAAAAAAACCCCAGTGGCATCGCCGGCAAATCGCTTGACCTCGCTCTCGCCGGCGAACTCTTACAAATAGCCTTCTGAATTTCCTAATCTGTTCCTCTGCTCAGCTTTCCCAGCTCAGAGAGTGAACCCTTCAACGCGATTTCACCTTTATCCCAGAAAACCAAACCCCAGCATTCTTCCCCAAAAAGATTCATATGCTTTCAAGCTTTGTTTCCAGGAGAATCACCCAAGCCAAAAGAAAAAAAAGGAAATGCTCCAAGAACATGCAAATCAGTAGTTTCAGCGTGATAACTGTAGCTTTTATAACCTCCCAATTGGCCCCATAGCATCAACGATACCAGGACGAAGCAGCGATTCAGGGTGCAGCAGCTCAGGGCACCGTAGTGAACCCCAGCGCTAACGGCGGCAAACTTCGAGCCAGCGGTTCGATCGATCCAGGGTAAGCATGAGTTAAAAGAAGTAAGAATTCCCAGCCTTTCGTTGATTACCACGGCTTCTATATTCTGTGCAACGCCAGGCACTTCGATGAACAATGAGAGGGGCTCCGAGCGGTATTTATAACGGGGTGGGGCGGGTTCAGATTTTTAGATTTTGTTTCTAAGTATTATATTTTTTATGTTCGCGAAAATAACATTTAAAGAACTTTTAAGAATATTAATTATATTTAAAGATCTTGAAATTATGTAATTTCAGGAAGAAAACCATTGTTTTTAGTTAAAATTAAAATTAAAATTTTCAACTGAATTTTTTCAACTTTCAGTCTTTCACATTTTTCAGTGCTTATTTCTTGTCTTTTTTATTTCATTGAGTAATTGTTTTCAGTATTCATCTTTTATAATTTTGCTGTTGAAAATAATTAAAAATAAATATTTTTAATCCCGGAAAGGTGAAATATAAATATTATAAAATTAAAAAAAATAACATGGAAGATGAGTGATGAAGATATGGTGGATAAATATTAAGAAAATTAACTCAAGGACAAAATTAATTTCAATTAAAGACTACTCCCTCCGTTTAAAAATGTTTGGAATTGAATGTTAAAAAATATAAATCATTTTTAATCTTTTGAGGTGTAGTCATTGCCTTAATTTTCAAAAGTGCTTCTATTGATGAATGACTTTATATTTATTGTAGGGTATTTAATAGGTATTAATATAAAAAGATAGAATTAATTTGAAAGGAGGTAATTATTTTATTGAAGGATAAAATTTGATTAAAATATCTTATATTTTTAAACAGTATGATTTTTTTGAAATTTTAGAATTTTGGACTATAAATAATATTTTTAAATATCTCTTGTGATTAAAAATTGAAAAAATGATAGAAAAATCCATTTAAATTATCTAAATAACATATTGGTCTCGTAAAATGGCATAATTTTTCTAAAGTGACATGGGATTTTTCTGTCATTCAAAAATCAAAGGAAATAATCAGATCACCTTCAAATAAAACAAAAATCTTAAGTCTCAATGCAGAGTAATTGGCATGTGTTCTCCTACTTTATTGTCACATTGATTTGGAGAAGGCAATCTTCACCAAGGATAGTACGAGTGCCAATATCACACACCACATGTCGATTCAGGTTGGTTTAGAAAAACCATCAAACCTGACGCTGGAAGCTTTAATTTTGGGGTAACCTTTTCTAGGGCGAGGAATGAATAGAATTCGAACGGAATCAAGCCTCATCCACGTATACAGCAAAGTTGGATTGTCTATGAAATTTTCTGTGTCTGAGTGTGTTAAGGGGCGACAATTCGTTGGTTAACCCAAAGAAGGATTCAAATTTGGGAAAGCTACACTATAAGAGAGTACTAATGTGTATTGTAGAGGAAGATTTGACAAGAGATAGGGGCTTGAATTACAAAAAATTGCTCAAGAAGGATAGATTTTCAAGAGATGTGGATGCGTTGGAGATGAAAGGGGAAAGCCACATGTTCCATTTATTGAAGTCATACTGATTTAGTCAATTTATAAAGGGTACTAATAAATTACGATTCCTCATTGCATTGTTGTGAATTTAGAGATAAAAGTTGTTAATAAAGGAATAAAGTTGTGAATAAAAAATTATAAATTTTCAACCCCTAATACATATCAGGACCTACACATGCGGAGTTGCAAATAGCTATTAAATTATTATAAATTTTGAAATAAAAGTTGTTAATACAGGAACAAAAATTGTAAATGGAAAATTGTAGATTTTTAGCACTTGATGCATATCAGGACCTGCAAATGCAAAATGACTATTAAATTGTCATGAATTTTGAAACAAAAGTTGTTAATATTGGAATAAAAGTTATAGGCAAAAAGTTATGAATTTTCAAGACATGATGCATATCAGGACCCACAAATGTGGAGCTGTGAATGACTATTGAATTGTTGTAAATTTGTAAATAAAAGTTATAAATAAAAAATTACAAATTTTCAACACTTGATGCATATCAGGACCTGTAAATTTGGACTTGTGAATGGCTATTAAATTGTTGCAAATTTAAAAATAAAAGTTATTAATATAGGAATAAAAGTTGTGAAAGAAAAGTTGTGAAATTTTTTAATCTGAATAAAGGATAAAAGTGTTATTTTTTATAATTCTCTAATGACAGGAACATCACTTGAGACTCTAAAAAAATTATGTTATTTTGTAAAATCAATATGTTATTTAATTAATTGAATGGGATTTTTTTGACATTTTTCCTTAAAAATTTGTTATATACAAATCTTTGCGCAAAAACAGCAAAAGTTGTGTATGTTTGTAAATGAAAATAGTATTAATACTACTATTTATAAATGCTCTAGAGCTTTTTTAATTTTTTGAGTAAAAATATTAAAATCTTAACTATAAATAATATTTTTAAAGAGCCCTTTATATCTAGAGCAGGGGAAACGAGCCGAACCTATCGGGCTACCCGTTTAAGCTCGTATAATAGTAAGATCGGGCTTGCAAATATAACTCTAAAATGATAAATCGGGCTTACATGGGTTGGCCCGTTTAAGCCCATTTAATCTAGGGCTTAAATAGGCTAGCCCTGCAGGGCTGAGGGCCAAGCCGTTTAAGCCTGCATATCTATTTTTTTAATTAATTCTCATGGTTTTCACTCTTTTTAGATTTGAAAAAAAAATTAAACCAAATTTTACTCCACATCATATATTAGCCCATATCTACTGAGATGGAAGGCAAAAAAAAAAAGAGAAAAAATAACAATGAAGAATCACTGATTAAAAATTATATTAGTTAAGGATCACTTGTTGTCAAAATTCAAGTAGATACTTATGGATTCAGGTTAGCCTTTATCATAAATATTCATTTAGGTTTTAATAACAACTCATTTTAAATTAACAATGGTTTATTGTAGCTTGTTTTTTATTCAGGTTTTAATAACAACTGATTCTTAATTGATATAAACTTCACACAAAAATCATTACCTGCTATTTTCTAAAAAAAAATACAACCTTAAATCCTCTAATTCATCTAGATTCATGATAATGATTCATTCAGTTCAACATTTACTCTTTCTTCAATATGCTTCTTTCCTTTTTGCCGCTATAAGTTGTCTTTGCTCTTCAGCAAGTCATCAGATCGCTATCCCCGTCCCTGTCATCATAACTCACAAGCTATCATTGCTACTGTTTTTGCTCACTCTTTAGTCGTCCCTGTTGCTTACTCTGATAATGCTCCCTCTCAAGAACTAAATCTCAACAATGCTTGACTAGTTGACACTCGTTGTCATTGATCTTCCAAGCCCTCCTATCACTTATCATGTTTGTGCAGTTGTGACTCGTGAGCTAAGTTACATCTAATACACATATTGTGCTCGTGCTCTTTGTTTTCGTTGATCTCCTAGTCCCATATCTCAGTTCTTCAAGGCTCAATCTCATTTAATTTTGATTGGGTGTTTGTCAGCTTAGCTGATCCATTATTTATTGCATTGCTATTATTTTATTTGTGTTTTTAATTCATTTGGATGTTATTTAGTTGGTTTTTTTTACCTTTCTTAATTGGGTATTATATTAAAATGAAGTAATTTTTTATTTGATTAAAAAATTTAAAAAAATAAAAATAATTAAAAGGACATAAAGCTTGCAGGGCCAGCCTTGAGTCCGTTATGTCAAGGGTCGGGCTTCATATATAAGGGTCTTAATTTTTTCAACTCTATTTATATCCTTCTCACTTTTTGCCTTTTTGATTACAAAATTGTCATGCACAAATCTTCACCCAAAAACCCAATAAAAAGTTGCGTGTATTTGTAAATGAGAATAGTATCAGTACTATTGTATTTATAAATGCTCGATGGCTTTTTTATCCTGTTTTTTGAATAAAATATTTAAATTTCAAAATAAAATAAACGTTTGATTACTTGCTCAGAATTTAATCCCGAAACCAGCTAAACATGTCTTTATTGCGAAATTTTATTATTAAATTGGAGAGTTTAGAGGGTGGGATTGTGCTCTGATAGCATGTTAATGTTCAAAAAAATCTATCAGAAACAAATTATTAAGAAAATAGCAGAGTACTCTTTAAGGTCTATTTTCCATGTTAACATGAATGTTATAATGTTGAATGTCATTGTTTTATTGCTCAATTCAAATTCATCTATAATATTATTTTTTTATTACTTATATGTATCTTTCTATTTGAAACAGGATACTAAATATGAGCATTTTTTTCAATAAAGAGCTAAATATTAGTTTATTATAATTTAATTATTCTAATTTAAAACTTAGTTATTTAAATTTATATAAAAATATCTTTTTCATTAGACTAAAATTGGTTAAATTTAAATTTAAAAGGTTATCTCTCATAATTTAATTATTTTGAATTACGTTGAAAAAGTAGTGTATATATAATTTATGCCACGTCACAAAACTATAATTCTTACAAATTAAGATTTGCAAATTGAAGTTTAAGGAAAAATCAAATATTATAGGTGATTTATGTTTGAATATTTTTTAAAAAAATTAGTGACAAATCAAAACTTATTTTAATAGTCCAATTTAAAAATATGTTTATGGAGTCATGGTAATTAAAAAAGACATGTTTTATAGCACACATGTATAATTTGATCTCTGATGCAATAAAAATTTAAATTTAAATTAAAAAAGTCAAAATAATATTAAAAAATCATTTGTAAATATTAAAAGATTAAAGAGCAATCTCACTTTTAAAGTAATAAGTTCATGAGTGTCTAACACTCTGAACTTTGATGCAATGTTTTTTTTATTTTTAAAAACAGTATAATAAATTATTTTTGATAGTTAATTAATTAAAAAAATTATAAAAGTATTTTAAAAATTATAAAAAATATTAAATTAAATATATAAAAAAGATTCAAGTTACAGATAAATCCATGACTCTCTTAGCCCATGCAACATCGATATTCATTTTAAGCCAAACTTTTTCTGAAAAATATCATTCCATTCTACCAATACGCCTTCCTATATTTATTTTCAATATCAATTCATTCCTCTTTCCCTTCTCAAAATAAGTTAAAAAGTGAGGGCTTGAGTTGCACCTATTATGTTTGTGGTTGTTTGGATTTTATCCATAATCAATTCTAAAAACCAAAATCATTATTTTGCAAAAATATATTCAAATGCTTCTATTGCATGTAAAAATTAATTATGAATTTAAAATCATGTTTTTTTTAAATTTATCCAACCACATATTATACATGTCAAAATTAACCATGAAATGAAATCATGATTTTCTCAAAAATAAAATATCAAAACACTTTTATATATGTCAAAATCAACTATGAACAAAAAAAATATAATTTTTGAAATAGTTCATAATATTCTCTGGATAAATTTTTTTAAAAAATATAATTAAAAAGTAAGTAACAGTAGGTTATGAAATAATCATGATTCTAATTTTACAATTAATTTTAACATGTATAATGCATGTTTATATTTTTTTTAAAAATATTATTTTAAATTTATAATTAATTTTAATATATAACAGGAATGTTTGGATTTATTTTAGTTTCACTTAATTTTAATTCTGCTTTTTCAATTCTACTTTTTTATTTTGATTAAAATCAATTTTATTAATCAATTACATGCCATGTAACATGATCAGCTATATTTAAAATTAATTATATTAATTATTTTTCATAATTAATTACTAAAATACAATTTTAAGCTAATCAAAAGTTGGAAGATTTTATATTAATTTCTTTCCCGCTGCAAGAGGGAGTTATGTTTCCCAGGAAACAACGCCATAAAAACACTGATATTTCAGCGTCATCCTGAATAGGTGCGGACCACCTTCTTCCTCTGCAGCTCTACACACTAAACTGCACCCAGGACGCCTCGAATGGCCTGACAAACGCATTTAAAACCCCCCACGCTTTATTCACATCACACACACACACACACACACACACACACAGTTCATACAGTGACAGCATCTGATCTCACACTCCTTCATTCATACAGTGTCAGCATCTACTCTCACACTCCTTCACAATCCCAAACTGATAATGCCGCCACCGTCACCATCCCTTCAGTTAATAACCACCCAACACAGACTCGAAATGAAAAAACTTCCCAAATTGAGTTTGATCTCTGTTTCTTCTTAAACGCAGAAGCAGAAGAATCACACACTACTGCACACAATTACCTGACTTGTTCCATCACATGCAGGTCTTCTTTTTCTCTCAATTTAGGAGATGACCCCAGAAGTTACAATGGCAGAAGAAGAAGAAGAAGAAGAGTATGAGTTAAAGAACCTTGCATCTTCGTATATCGGTATTAGCTTCTCATTGTTTCTGGCCTTTCTTCCGAAGAATTTGCTCCCTCTATTTCAAAAATTTGGGTCTCAGCTTAAAGAGCTTTCTGCAAAGCTCTTTCAAGCGGAAGAGCAGCTGAAGCAAATGAAGTCGAGGAGGCAAGAAGACTCGAAGGCCAACGCGAGGGTCGTCGAGATTTTCGCCGGCCACCGCAACGCGTGGCAGGCGGAGGAGAAGCGGTTGCTTCACCAAATCGACGCATGTTCAGAGGAAATCGCGTATTTGAGAGCTAGGGTTGAAGAATTCGAGAAATGCGAGGTCGAATGGAAGGCTAGGATCGAGGATCTGGAGAGGGTTGTGAGAGAGAAGGAGGAAATGCTTAACTTGATATCAAGAAGGGAACAAGAAGAGGATGAGGAATCAGGTGAGTGCGAGGGCAGGGACTATGGTGGAGGTGCAGAGAAAGTGGAGGTTATTTATGAACAGATTCAACAATATCAGAAAAAAGAGAAACAATTTGAGTCTGAGTTTCTGACCTCTGCTTCAAAGTACTGGGCAGAAAGAGGCGCCCTTTGGCAGGTTCTTGCTCATTTTTCTTCATTGCATCTATCATCTTGTATTAAATTCATAGTTCAATCAAATACAAGAGAATCAGAAAACTGAAGTAACTGTTACATGTTTTGTTTATGCATGAATGGTGGAGGTTCTGATATATTGAATAAAATGTTTGTTTTAGAGTCATTCGTGTTCCCTTACCACTTAATCAAGTTTCAATTCAAAATCATGAAAGTAAAACTGGAACTTTTCTTGAGATGGTAGAAAGAAGCTGGTGTGCCTGATGAATTTTGGGTACAAGATGCCTTCTTTCTCAGAAGCTGGAAGGGACTCAGTCAATTTCATAATGGATTCGTGCTGTCCCATGTTGTCTGTCTGTTTCTGCTTTTTTTCTTGTTGCAATTTGTCCTGTACGAGCTGATATGTTGCTATGCATGTTTGGTCCATTTCTGGTTTCTCTCTGCGCAAAACATGGTTTACTGGTCCACCCTTATCTTGTTCTGACATTTTGAGGGAGCATTCGCCAGGTTTCGTTATTATTGTCTATGTTGGTGTAATTATTCTTAAAGCACTAATTGTGTTGTACGGGTATCTTTGATTCTTCGCTCTTCAATACTTTAAACCCACTTATGCTTCTATTATTCAAGCTTCTATTATCTCGTCAGTGTTTGGTATACAGCAAGTGCTTTCTAAAAAGTAAATAGAAAATGTACCTAAAAAGAAAATGGGACTGGTGCATCTCTCTTTACCTTATTAGAAAACATTTTTTTTTTATCCACCAAACTTTGCATAAAAGTTCTTATGCTTCTTTACCTCGCTTCAAGTTTTTCCTGCAGTTATGGTATATATTATTTTTCCACTTGATTATTCTGTTCTGTTTCTTTTAGAGTATCTTGTGAAAGGAATTAAGTGCTTTATATGTACTGTGTCATCATTCCCTAGAACCCTATTGGTTGCTTCTGAAGATGGCTTTTATTATTATTTGATAACAAGAAGATGGCTTTTATTACCAAGAATATTCAACATTGCAGGTTTGAATTTCTTGTAAAAGGTCATTCAAGCCTTAAATTTGTTTACTTTTGTAGGATGTACAGCATGAATCCCTTGAATCAACATATGATATGAAGCATTTTGTTGGGAGGTAATTAATTAAATATCTAAATGCTGATAACTCAGGAAGCAATTATATTAATTTGCAGCTAATTGAAGGATAAATATTGTTCTTTTACCCAGAAGGGAATCTCCTTGGAAGGTAGATGGTGATTCAGCTGGAGTTTACTCTAAACTCAAATTACTAGAGGAGGAACTACTGAGTCTGGAGAAGATTGGTAAATGTGATCTATCAAAAGTGCCATCATTAACAAGGAAACAGGCAAAGAGATATCACACTCTTGCAGAAAAGATTGACGATTTATGTAGACGAATAGTAAGTGAACTCCTGCTTTATGCCTTCCATAGTCGTTGTTGCTCTCTTGTAAATAATCCTTCATTTTAAACATGCCTGATGATTGGTTACAATATATTGGTCGGTATGGATATTAGAGATTAAGGGAGAATGACAACTAAAGACCATGTAAGAAAATGAATGCCAAATCAGGATCTCATTAGGTTCCCAACTTCAATGCTCATCCTTTGATGTCTCAACACTGAAAATCTTTAAAAGGTCCTGATCTGGTATTAACCTTTCTAGGAGGTCCTTAGTTGTCATTCTCCTGATTTAATATCTAGGGAGTAATGATTATGTCATGAGCATTATGTTTTGGGATCATTATAAGGAAGTGCCAATTCTATCTATTATTCTCAGAGTAATTTCTTTATGATTATCTGATTGCAGCTGGCTAGCTTATATTTATCTAAGGTTTGATCAAAGTGCTTTGCAAATTTATTCTAGGTAGAGGCAACATCAACTATACATGCCTGTATGATATATGCAGTTTCTTTTGTTTGTTATGAGGCTTTACAGCAAATATAACATATGAATATTTTTTTTCCCTCACTCATCACCACATTCTTGATTCTTTCAAAACAATTGGCTCTGAGCGTCATGATGTTATCAAAAAAACCTGATAGTAAGCTCTTAAAAAACTTCACATAAATTTTGTCTAGCATTTATTAGGTTTCACTTATAGTGCATGTTTTGAGCTCAACAGTTTTCTTCCCCGGCAGGCAAGCGATCATTCTGAACCTGCACTCAGCTCAGAATTTCAAATGCAAAGGCAAACTGAGCTTTTACTCGAGGCATTCCGGCTGCAACAGCAAGCGTCCGAAGCAGGGCAGAAGCTGATGGCACTGCAAACTGAAACTGGGAAGAGTTATGGCCGGGATGAGCTCATAACACCAACCACAAGAAGGGCCATGGATTCCATAAAGAACAACATGAAGGAGATACAGAGAAATCTGGAGATATGGCTGGCCAGAATTATTGGAGATCTTGAGGGGATTCTGGCAAGGGATGTTGCTTCTCGTATGAGAGACTGTTATACTTCAAGATATCCTTTCATTCAATAGAATCCCAAAAGCATTGTGGCAATGATATAAAGGATTTATCATTTATGTCCATGTTCTCTCTCCTCATTGTATCATTCTATCACTCTGAGTACAAAGCCGAACAAGTTTGTTTTTGTGGTATGTGAATTGATCGCAGCCACAGGGTGATGGTTGGATTTCTAATTCATTGCAAACAAATTAGACATTAATGGTAGTATGATATGAGAGTAAACATTACTAATGGTTTATTTTCAAAGTCATGAGAAGTTTGCGGCATGAAAATTGGAAAAGATAGAGAGCGAGAGAGAATTAAAGAACAAGAAAGATGGAAATGTTTTCAGATAGCAATGCCTGCTTCTTCCATGAGCTGTTTCACCTTTGTGATGTAGTCGCTCTTTGCTTCATCCTTTGATGTCCCTGCCACAATGGAATTGAGGTTTGAATCTATCAGTTTCAAAAAGAGGGAGATTTAAAATATGTGAGATCTCATTGAATAATAATAGACATCTAAACTGTATATCCCTTTGGTCAAAAAAAAAAAAACTGTATATCCCTATTTTTTCTCCGAAATTAATATCCGATTTTATGAATAAGCATTCTGAAAATGTTCAAAGTGATTGAATTTTACCTTCAACAGCTTTCCATGCATCCCATTTAGCTCTATCCTTCATGTTGAGCATTCCTGGACGGCCTTAATCACACACAAATATAGAAAATTTTGGTGATGTAGATAGGGAAATAACTATGTAGTTACGAGAAAAATATAAAATTATAAAGACGTGGATCCAATATACATTGTTTTCAGATAAACACACTGTAAATTTTCATTTCAATCTTGCTGAGAAGATTTTCATTATTTGTTTTGATCCATCACATGTGATCATGCCGTGTCATCAGACCAAGGCTTCAAAGTAGCTTTTCACTTGGCATCATAAAATATAGATGAGATAATTATCATCACAATGACAAAAACTGAATTGCAAGAAATCAATTTTATGAATTATTTTTTCAAATAAAATCTCTCAAATCCCATGAGGAAAAAAAGAGGGGATCCAATGGGTAGAGAGAATGAAGTAACAAGATCACTCACTAGTGTTGATAGGTCCAACAGTGGCTCTCTTATACAATCCATAAAGAATGAGTTTGTTCTCATTTGATGTACTCTCTGGCAAAGTCTTGGCTTTCGCTGCATACTTCTCAAATTCCTCCTTCATATCATAAAACACAATAATCCCATTTCCACCTCAAATCAACAAACTTAATTTAAAAAACAAAACATTGTTTACTAACTTTTCAGATTGTTGATATTAGAGTTAACCTTATAATTTATGGTTTTCAGATCATCAAACGTATCATTTGAAGCCTATACTATAGTTTTCAGATCAAGGGATTATGGTTCTCTGCATCAAGTACATCTGCATGTTCTAGTTAATTTTCATCTTTGGAGTACCATGCCGAAATGGATTTGGATTTAGTGTAGTTTGTGGATTTTCAATCTAATCTTATCAAGAATGTTCTTATCTTACTAAATATTTTGAGCTATTACGTTACTTTACAATATGTGATAACATAACAAGAACAAAACATTATTAAAGATCAATGTCAGAAACTAATCTAAAAATGATGTTGAGTCTGTTTCTTGCAGTAAGACTATTTGTCCACATGAGCTACAGATAAGAATAAATTCTAAACAAATGCACTGATGCACAGAGTTAAGATTAATTACACATGAACTCTCTATTTCATTTTACTTGAACACACGTTAAAACATGTACATATATTATGTGTTTATTTCTCTACCAAAAAAAGAAAAATAAAAACACACACAGACAATGGTATCTGATATGATTTGCTTGTCGTAAAGTAAAGCAGGATAGAATTGATACAAGATTGATTATTTAACTTCAAAAAGGAATATGAAATTAGTGTTTACCTTCAAACCCATTTAGTTTTCTAAAATTGATCTACACTTAGATCTGCTTCAGGCTTCTTCTACGCAGTCCTCGTCTTAGTGTTGTGAAAGTTAATGAAATTGAATTTGAGTGAAGTTAATTAGCTTGAAGTCTCGATAGCCAATTGAATATTTCTAAGTATATTTACCTCTTAGATTCGGATTCCCCGGAGATATATAAACGGCTAATCGTGAGTACCCATGTATGATTTTTATTTTCCTAATTGAAATCTTATTTTTAAAAATAAAAAATACTTGAAAATCAATATCATGATATGAATATGAACATCAATATCAATATGCAATAAAAAACTCAAAAACTGCATTATTCAAAAATAGTAAGCTGTGTAACTCATCCTTAAAACTTGGTATAAAAACTAAAAAAATAACTGCATTATTTAGCAAGATATGTCTAATTTGTTTGACATTATCTTATGAACGGCATCACCAATTATTATTATTATATAGTTTATATCTTGTATTAGTGATATCATGTAAGTGATATGGGCATATTTTCCTCATGCCATCATCAGAGATCCACTTAATTTGAATGGTATCAAAGAGAACAGGTAACCAAATACCCCTTTTTTCATTTTTGTTGGGAGACTGGGAGATGCGGCTTGCTAGATGCTCTAAGTTGCTTACAGGAATTTGGATCGCCTGAGGTGTGAAGACCATGCCAAGACAAGGGGTACATATGACTGGCAAGTTTAAAAGGCCATAATTAGATGTTTTTTCATGTAGTTATTAAACATTGTCAGAGCTTCCTTAAGAGTAACTCTTCCAAACACAATTCTTTACATTTATACAAATGCAAACTCGAAATTTGTGCATAAACAACCATAACTCCCTCAGGCTAAGATCTACTCGAACTTGAAACCGGTAAATAAACAACTATAATCACTCCCACTAAAACGCCCGCAATAATTAGACGCTTCGTACAGAGACTTTGTCAAGTGCAACTTCGATAGTCGCAAACGTCTGAATAAACCTCTGATTTCTGGAACTTTTAAGGGCAACGGCCTGCTTACACATGAGAGGCTGCAGAATTTTTAATACAACTTGTGATTATTGAAAAACTGATACTCCCCCGGCTCAAACGTGTAACACATTTTTAATCAAATTTTACTTATTAATAAAATAATTACTTATTTTAAAATTAATCCTATCTTTTTACATTTATTTTTATTAAATACCCTCCAATAAATATAAAGTCATTATTAATAAAAACACTTAAAAAAAAGACAATAATTATACCTTAAAAAACTAAAAATATCTTATATTTTTTAACATCCAACTACTCAAAATATGCATTATATTAAAGGGAGGGAGTAAGTGGAATTGTGGGTTTTTCATAGTACGCAATTGGAATTTATGATCGCAACAGAACACAAAATACTCAGGCAAACCAGTGCGCTAAAACAACTGGAATAACAATCCGGAAGTTACTTGCAGAAGGGCACAGACCCTGAACAAAATTTGCTCTTGATAAGATTAAGACTAGTGAAACTGGAACAAAAATTAACGATTATAAGGAGAAAAAGTAGCTTCACGAGTTCTTCACTTCTTCTCTTCCTTCTCTGCTTCAGCAGCCCTCTTCAGCCTGGCACCAACATGTCTTTTGTTCGTGCGCTCGAGGCGAAGCTTCTCATAAGCCTTGAATGCCTTCATATCCTCAGTAACCTTAACAAGCTCCACAGATGGCTTCTCCCTCACAATAGGCATGAACGGACCCTGGACTTGTGTGGCATTGGCAAGTTCCTCAGGTGTTGAATCGCCAGCCTGAAAAGTCGGAAGGTCCGAGAAAAATTTCAGACAGAGAATTCTATTTTGCCTTCTCCCAAGTGAATGAGCACAAGAAAGTAAGGTTTTAACGGTTAACCATTTGATAACCATGTTTTGCATTACCTTGACCTTTCGTGCACGTCTTGGGAACACAACAAGCTTGGCCTTGTATGTCTTCAGCCTCTGGATATTAGCCTGAAGACTTTCCAAAGAACGGTTCCTGCGGCGGTGATCAACAGCAATGCCAATGGTTGGAGCAAGCTTTTTGGGAATTCCAGCAGCCTACAATAGTTCAGTATATACATATATATATTCATAAAAAAGGAATAACAACCATCAATTATAAAAAATTACAGCTAAATTAGCGTGGATCCAGCATGAGGCTATCAATTAAATGATTTCAGCATAGAGCAATCAGAAATAATTGATGGCAGAGTCTCAATTACATCCAGGTGACAGTTCACAACTAAAACTAGTATAAGTCTAAAGTAATAGTCAGCAACTAAAACTAATATGAACATCAAGCTCCCCATATATTTATTAGATGAATAGAAGTCTTTCATGTGCCACTGCCAATAAAGAATCAAGCATAACACAGCACAGAGGGCAAAGGTCCGAAGAATAAAGGCAATACCTTCAGCTCTTCAAGTGAAAATCCTCTGCCAGCTCTGACCTTCATGTTGTATTTCAAAGTTTGACCGTGAACAACAGGCCTAAGAGGTCCAGCTGTAGGCCTAGGGAAAATCTTAACAGCTTTCTTTTGGCGAGCTGATCATTGCACCAAGCACATGACCCAAAAAGAAAAATAGGAAACAATGAGTTGCAACCAAAAGTGACTTTCAAATTAAAATTATAGACTTGGATTGATTTTAAAGTAATAAGAATTAACAAACTACATAGCAATTACCTAATCGTCTTCTTGTCTTCCGTGCAGGCTGATTGAACCATGTTTTCACATAGTTTTGCCAATGCTTCCGGAAGTGGCTATTAGGGATAACATTATTGTGCTTAACCATTGCTTGCCTACTAAAACAACCACAAATTAAAAATAAAAAAATAGGATCAGCAATCAACATTCAGGGCGATAAAAGAGGCAGATCATCATAAACTCCAAATGATAAATGAAATTCTCAAGTCATCTACAAAACCAATTAAGGAATAAGGATAAGTTCTGTTGATAAGGATATATATAATTCTTGCTAACTGATTGATTAGATAGCCAGGGAAAGTATATTAACTAAAGTTTTCTGATCTCTGAGATGCATATAAACTGAAGTCTTCTAAGACCAAGGATAGCCATAAAATGAACAGTTATCTGTGATTGAAGTTATGTATTCTATGTCATTTCGCGTGAACTCCCCCTAGTTTTTGTTCCAAAAATAATAGCAAGCCATTCATGTACATCAGTTCACCAACCTAAACAAAGAGACGTATCTTCTACCTCCACATTTACAAAACCAGAACAAAATCTCACCAATTTGTTTCGTTATTACCGGACATATTTCTCGACAAAGGCAAAAAACCTTAAACGTTTGAAAGCCTAACTAGTAACTAAAAGCAAGAACATTGCAGAAACTAATAAATATGTTGAAGCGAAATCATGCCAGGCTCTCACAAAGCATTTGATAAACCAGTAGAAACATTATAGGTACTCTGATGAACATCGAGAAGAACAAAGGCCGGAAGCGGGAACTACCTGGGGCTTCTTCTCCACGAGCGGCGGCAAGAAGGAAGAACGAGGGATGAAAATGAGGCTGCTAGGTTTTTAAATAAAACGCCCCGAATCCTGGGTTGAACGGCTGGGATCTTATTAGGGTTTATTCACTTTCTTTTTTGCGCCTGGATTGGGCCATACCTGGGCTTAATGAGTGATTCTTTGGATCAATACAAAATTGGGCATTCAAGTTCATAGAAAATACTATCCATTTTCTTAACCCAAAAAAAAAAAACTACTCTGCATTTCGTATCCAAAAAAGAGCATGTACCAGCGAAAACGAAAAGGTAATGCGAAGTCGTCCAGTTTTGAAATCCACTCGGGACTCGGAGGGAACCAAAATATGGTGCACAAATACAACAAGTGAATCATATGTAACATGCATATGACACATCAATACTTTTATTTAAAAATATAGGATGCAATATGTTTATGATACTCTATGTATAAATATGTATTTGAATTAAATCATTCTGTTTCAGATAATAATTTTCCCATATTATGGAAGATATTAAAATAAAATAAAATCTACAAACTAATTTATAACCAAAAATCATGGAAATACTTAAAAGTAAATAGCAAAAGATATTAGCATATAAATAAAATATTTATTTTTGAAAACATAAGAACCTGTTTTCTAAAACATTTTAATCTCAATCTTTTAAAAAAAATCATACAACGATACTAGAGCTACTAATATTAATATAGCAGTCTCCTGTAAATTTAATTTCTTAATAAAATATCTTGAAATATTGGTCTTGAAGTCATAATTGAAGAAATATCAGCATATGTCAGTATCAAATATGATATTAATACAAATATGCCAATTACTTCATGCGTTTGTGGTTTTTCATTGCTTGTAAGCTGTAAGACACGAGTTTGACAAATGGTATCCCAAAAAAAAAAAAAAACATCGATAGTTTAAAAGAATACAACTCTTTTAACAAGAGAGAGGGAGCAAGGCCTGGCAAATGATTAAACTAGAAGGGGAAATGATTTTTTTTGGGTCATGAAGTGTTTGTTTGGATTACACCCAAACTAATGTTTGGGCACGCCAAACATCAGTTGAAATGTTAAAAGCCCATTGAAAATAAAAATAATATGCTTGATTAATTTTTCATTCCAACGAACATTTAAATATGATTAAAAGTAAAAAAAATAATTATTGTATTGAGGCTTGAGCGTTGTGTTGTTATTTGTTGCAAACTTTACTTCATGCTTCTCATTCTCTCTTCTCCATCGTAGTGTGGGAAACCATTTGGTTTCTATTAAAATGTTGATGTTAAAGTCCTTTTTTTTTCATTAAATGTAATTTTTAATTAGATTGTTACCAATATTTTTTTAAATTAGATCACATATATGAGATGTGATATTTAGTATATATCTATATGATAGGATTATATATATATATATATATATATATCTTTCACAAGGAAAATATTTTGTAATCTAATATTTTTATAATTTATTAATTTATTTTAGCTTTTTACAATTTAATATTTTATAACTTATTACTTAATTTTTATAATTTATTTTATATTTTTAATTCTACCTTTAAAAAATATAATTTTAAGTTTATTATTTTTTCTTAAAAATATCAAATTTGTCATGAAATAATATATAAAAAAACTTATGTCCATTTTTATCATTATACATCTTAACTGACTTCTAAATCAAATCATTCAAATGAATTTTAATTTGTTAAACTGACTTTTTAAAAAAAATATCAAACATAAACCATATTAAAGTTACAAACTCTTTTTTCTAATCTCAATTTACTAACCTCAATTAAGTTTCAAACATAAGTTGTGGCTTTTTTTAATCCAAACACTAGCTGATGGACACAAAAGCTTTCTTAACAATGTGGCTTAAAAAATGAAGATTGGTTTACGATATGTGTATTTCTAAGTTGTGAGTCCATCCTAACTTTAATAAGATTTTGAAAGGTAAAATTCACCCTTGATGGTTTAATTTTATAATCCCTCTATTAAAAAATATAAAATATTTTTAACTAAAATTTATCTCAATAAAATAGTTACTTATTTTTAAATTAATTATAACATTTCATATTTATCACTATTAAACACCTTACAATAAATATAAAGTCATTCATTAATAGGAGAACTTTAAAAAAAAGGCGATAATTGTACCTTAAAAAATTAAAAATACTTTATATTTTTTAACATTCTAACATTTTTAAATGAATGGAGTATAACATTTTTGTTTGATTTTTTAACTTTATAAAATATTTTTATTATTCTAACCTTAATATCATTAATTTTAAATGATTATTTTTGTTTCAATCATCATTACTTTAAATAATCAAATTTAAAAATATTTCTTCAATATTTAAAAAATAAATATAAAAATTTATTATTAATAAAACTAATGACGTGAGAGTTAAATGATTCAAAAGATATTTTATAAAATTTAGGGATTAAAAATTAAACTTTGTGTAAGGTTAAAAGGTTAAAAATACTCTTTAACAGTTTCCAAAATTAAACTCGTCTATTTTTTTTGAAAATAATAAAAAATGACTTATTTAACAAATTCTTTAAGTATTTCCATAATTTACTCGATTTTTTTTATTTTTTAAAAATTCTTAAAATACTGTTCCAATTAATCATTATTAAGCAACATGATTTAATTTTCACAACTTTAAGTTTGCTTATTATTTTCTTTTTATATTTTTATTTATTTTTAAAAAATTAGTTTAGTTTAAGTTCGATTCAAAATTTATTTTAATAGATACTATATGACTGTTCGCGTCACACATCAGATTTAATTTATTGTAGAATAATTTTGACCATAAAAAAATTATTGTAGAATGATAAAGATTAAAGAATATCATCAAAGGAAAAAATACACACACACACAAATGCGCATGTTTAATTGTTTATTTTCACACGTGTTTGAATTCGTTAAAGATTAAAGATAAATTGTGATGCGTAACTTGTGAGTTTATGATCCCCACCCACTGACACGAGATGGAGACAGGCCGATGCAAATTGCACCAGGCCAGCCTTTAGTGGAAGCCAGCGCATTCATTAATTTATAAATGATGAGGAGAGAGAAAAAACGAACAGTTGGAGAAGGGTGTAAAAAAAACTTGCCTTCCTGCGATTAATTAAAACAAAAATATTTAATCCCTTCATTTTTATGTATAAAATATTTTTAATTAAATTATATAAATTAATAAAAATTAATTATTTAATTAAATATATAATAAAATTTTATTTTTATTTTTAATTATTGTAAATAAAAAATAATTTTTTTAAAATAAATTAATAAGAATATTTTTTAATTTTATGAGGATATAATGATCTATTTATTAAAAAATATTAATAATTTTTTATATTTAAGGATAAAAATATTAAGAGATTTTTTATTTATGAAGACGGGAAGAGTATTTAAGGTTGGCCCAAAGAACAAAATTACTACTACATAGAATACAGAAGCGTTGATTCTTTTTTCATTACATAACATCAAATGAAAAATGAATCACCCGTTTTCTATTATTTTTGGTGAAAACTCATTTTTGATTTCATACGGTAAATCTCAAACAATTCATTAATGATTAAAAAATACAATTCAGAGCTTGAAATTAGAAGCATTTAAACTGTACTGTGTAAAAATTTTAATCTACAAATTTTATTTCTGGATCTTAAACTGTAATTTTGGTATAGAATTTTTATTTAAAATAATTGTAAAATATAAAATATTTTCTCTAGCGTAAATTTTATAGTTTGAGATTCAAAACCCTTATTTTCTACATTCATGACTCGTCTTTACAAGTGGAATGAAATTTTGAAATAATGCTCGTGAATAAAAGGTGAAGAACTATAATAAATTTGGTTTGTTAATTACATACATGTGGGTGCGGGCGCGAGGTGCTAGACAATAATTTTAAAACCGAACGGTTCGACTGATTAAATTGTCGACTGATTACTAGCACGGCTCGGTTCGACCGCTCCTGAGAAGCGATTGGACTGCGAGCCTAAGAGCCACAAACCGAAAGCAATTTTTAATGAACCGGGCGGTTCACTTTTTCCTCAATTTTTCCCAATTTTAATCCTAAAATGTTAAAAAAAAAAAAAAATATGCTGCCTCCTTCATCACTCGCACTCGCAGACTTGCGTCTTTGTGTTCAATCCACTCCACTATAGATTCTAGTGCTCAGACTCGTGCTCCTCCTCTCTCATGTCTTTAGTCTTCACAATTTCAGAGCTCTGATGGCGAGTTCGTCCTCCCTCGTCCCTCTGTCCTTGCATCAATGAGTAAGTTCAAATCACTTCTTTGTTTATTTCGGTTCATTTGTTCCTTTGCTTTCTTCAGACATTATTTGATATTGTGGGATTTTGATTGTTGAACTTCCTCGAATATGAAAAAAGAACCTGCCTTTCTACACTTCGTCTCCCTCACTCAACTCTCCCCCGCCTCTTATAATTTCCTTCTTTGTTCATTTTGGTTCATTGACTCCTTTCCTTATTTGTTGTATGTCGTCTGCTAAGTGCTAATACCTTGGCGATATAGCGCTTGAATGCTTGGCGTTCTCTCAGATGATCTTTCTTTTCTTTTCTCTTTTTTTTTTCACACTGAATAATCTTTTCTTTTTGATAAGTTAATATGAAGAATGAAATATAAAAAATGCATAATTCATTTATAAATTTAATTATTTATTATCATTATCATTCAATTATACTTTTTATTTTTAATAGAAATAAAGGATTTTTGTTTTTTAAACAATAAATATTTCAATATATATAAAACAATTTCATATTTATTATATATATACATATTATATACATATATAATATTCTTTAAGTTAACTATTGAATTATCAGTTTAACCATTAATTCAGTTCAATTACATGAATTTTGGCCAAAAAAAATTGAATTATATGAATCATGAACTAATTTAATGTTTAATTTAGTTTTAAAAACATTGGTGCTAAAACAGGCGTTTGAGTACGAGAAGATGAAGCAGGAGGTGCGGAACATGAGTGTTTGGCCATTGATTATTTGAGTACGAAAAAATGAAATAGGGGGTATGAGTCTGTCTGTACTTGAGGGGCCATGTTGGCCAGCAGCCGCGTTTTGGTGTATCCAATTATGCAATTCAACTTGACGGCCTGGAAAAAAAAAAATAGCATTGCAGCTTTCCTTTTCGCACCTTTTTTTTGGTCATATTAATTTCTCAAGCAATGTAAAAGTTATTTAAAATATTATTATTGTCTCTCAAATAATGTTTTTTCATACACATTTTCATAAATTAAGTATTGTAATGATACTTAAGGAAATCAGACCGCCTCCATCACACTCGTCTAGTTTTTTTGAACCTGATTTTAATTTGCCCATTCTTCATTCCCAATCAAATAAAGGGGCTGTTTTTGTCAGATAATAAATCACCAAAATCTTACTCTCGTACGTATTAGTTTTTGTTTCCACGTCCATCGATGTCACCATGTTAGTATCTCCTCAGTATTCAATACAATAAAATTCACCACAAACAATATTATTTGTAAATTATAAATAGTATAATTTCTCTTGAACTTATATAAATAATAAAAAACATTTAGTTAACAAAAAATATCTATTTAAAATATAAATTCCAAACCAAATTACACTATTTTTAATTCAACACATGTTATATGCAAATTAATTAGCATTATAAAATGTGTGTAATGTATGAGAAAATGTGTCTAACTCTGTAATGAGTGACGTATTTTCATGACTTATAAACAATGTGGTTTATTGATCACACTCAGCGTAATATATTAAAACTATGCATAATTGTGTCTCGCAATGGTTTCCTGATATTTAGTTAGGTATGCAAGTTTAAGCCAGCTGATGGTTAACCTAAATAAGCAGCTCTCGTATTCGAGTCCGATCAATAAAATTATTATTGGAAAGACCTTACCTACATGCGGTCCAATTTTATTTAATTTTGATTGGGAGATAGATACATTACTTAGGTGATGTTTATCAAAAGACATATCACTTTACTAACTAGGTTTGGTTTAAAAGCAGAGATTAGTTCCTCACAATATATTAACCAAGGTTCGAATCTTAATAAAAGAAATACATATACTTAGTGCCCTATTGTACGTTTGATAAGACTGCCTCCAGTATGAGCAATACAATATATATAATTTTGAGTGAAATAATTTTTCAAGAAGGATACATTAATTATAATTGATTAATGAATTGATAATTAATTAAAGGTGTGTCCTCCATATCAATGTTTTGAAACTTGAATCGGACATCAAATTGAAATGAGCAACGAGTCATGATTTTCGTACTTTAATTGGTTAGATACACGGTCGAATTGACAACATAAAAATTAAATAAGAGCAATATTTATATACACAAATATATAAATAAAGCATTGATTTGTTGATGGTGTTTGGGATCTCGACACCAAAGACTAACTGCCTGGATCGTTGGAGCTAGAGGCAGAAGTATGTTGGCACAAGTTTGCAATCTTTAAGCAAAATGCTAAAGCTACAAGCATGATGTCATGTGATGACTCGTGAACGTTATGATCTCGACACTAAAAGCTAGATTGCTAGAGCTGGAGGTAAAAGCTAAAAGAGAGATTAGAGATTGAACCGAGGCCTTAAATGAGAGATCAAACATCAGAAAAATAGAAGATATAAGAGAACTAGAAATTAGAGATGAAAAAAATGTGAATTTAAGTGACTTAACCTAATTTTTTTTATTTCTTTTTCATTTTTTTAACTTTGAATTGAGTTGACTCGATTTGGTTCTGAGTCAAATCCAATTCTCTTGAATCCATTCAAGTCAACTCAGTTCAAATACTAAAATGATTCAACAAGTCGAATCAATCCGTTTTGATCAACGAGTGACAGTCAGACCATCAAAGTTTCAAAACACTGCTTCATACATGGCACAAAACTTCAAAACAACCATATTGTATTATTCCACCGGTGACACAAACTCAATCAATTCCTTATTAAGAAATAAGAAATGATAGTTATATGTTTAAATTTGAAATTGTGAAAAGAATACATAACTTTTAAATCTTGTCCTATTTTATAGTTAATGATGATATTAAATAATTATGGTTTTGAACTCTAATATTTTTTTATATAAAATAAATCATCAAGAAACTAATTGAGATGGAGTGTCGTAGAAGGAAACTTTTTTAGATCTAATGCGCCACATCATTTTTATATTATCCAGTAAAAAAATATGCAATGTCAAGTTCATTAGCTTATGCGTTATCCCTCAATGTCAAAGCCAGCAAAATTAACGATATATCAAATTTTATTTAATTGAATTGATATAATTTTTTAATCAAAAAATTGATGCAATTTTACTGTTAAATAGAGAAAATGTGAGGTGATATATCTTGTCCATGAAAAAATTTCTCCTACCAAAAAGAAACTAATCTCATAGAATTTTAATTTCCACCAGAAGCTTGCATCTAGCATCCGAATCATATGTCAAATATAATTGATTTTAACATAAAGACATACACGGAGTAAAAGAAAAATGGTGTGCTTGTTGCCTAGTTTTCATGCCCTCCGAGTAACTCGTAATGTGAGGACACAAAGAAAGCGCATGGTCGTGTGATGGCAATAGGAGGACACATGAAGCACAAGGCTCCGCAGAAAGGGATCACTCTCAATCTGCTTCTCCTCCTCCTTTCCTCTCCACGTAGTCTCTCTCTCTCTCTCTCTCACGTCGAAGTCATTATCGCTGGTGGCGAAGGCCGTAGTTAGGGAAAGGGTTGTAGGCGGCGTGCATTTTTGCCAGATCATCCACTCCGGCGAACAGAGACGCCGTGAAGGTACTCCGATAGACACAGATCCCTTTTATTGTTTTTCTTTGACTGTGAGCAAATCTGTCCTTTCAATCGTGCTTTTCATTTCGGAATCAATGGCCCTCGCTACTATATGCCAGCGCAACTGCAGAAGCATGTATCACTTTAGTTTTGACAGAAAGCTCAGGTCACTAGCCCAGCTTCTACTCATAGATTCCACCATGACGAGTTCACAGTAAAAAAAAAAAAATATAACAACAATAAACAGAGAGAATATATTCCTACGCTTTGAAAAGATTCTGATAATGTGATCAAATTCCAGTTCCTTATACTTGTTATGACTTATGAACATGACTTTTTTTTTTTTCTTTTCTTTTGACTTATGAACATGATTTTCTTTTTTGGCATGAGAATTTCTTGTTTATTGGCGGGCATTATGAGTTTTAATTTTTTTTAATAATATAAAGAGTAAATTCTATCAATAATGAAGATTTAAACTCTCCCAATTAAATTACTATATATATATATATAAATAAAAGAATTGGGATTAGATTGTGAGTTTTAAAAGTTTTCTTCCTCTTTCCAAGTCATTATTTTTTTACTTTTAATTAAAAATATAAATACACGTGACCGCGTTACTTTTTCCCAAATAAAGAATATTTTTTGAGCACAAAAGATTAAACTTACGGGTTAAAACTTGCCATTGCTCCATCTTGTTGGATCGACCTTGTACAGTAGTTGAGAGCATCTTCTTAGTATTATACATAATAATTTAAATGTTCAGACATATAAATAAAGAAAATTACCCTTCCAAAATTGCAAAATTATCCCTTTGAATCGAATCTCTGTCTGTCTGTTTCTCTCATGCTGTGTTTTGGCCTAATCAGATAATAAAAGCAAACGATCAGATTCACTCATGTGCATGCTGTCTCTCTTTCCCGACAATGAAAAATATTCAGAAAATATCAATGACATTAATAGCATCAAACAATTTTTTTTTCATGTTTTCTGTTGATCGAATTTATGTCTTATAAAATAAAGTAACTTTAACATATATATATATATATATATATATTTCCAGAGATGCACGATTTGCGTGATACGTGTCCTTGACGTGTCCCTTCACCATGACGACCATTTCTTTTTTTTATTTTATGAAAAAATATTCCCTACATTTTATTTATATTTTTTAATTTTTTAATTTTTTTATATTTTAAATTTTTGTATTTTTATTTTTAACGTTTTACCTTCATTTAAGATTTTTATATTTTGTTCATTTAAAAATTTAAAATATTAAAATAAGTACAGAATTTATAATAAAATATAATAAAATATAAGTAAACTGCAGGAGAAAAGCTATGTGTTTCTTTATTTTATTAAAAATAAGTGTTTCTCAGGGACTGAGCGGTTCGGACGAACATATGGTCACCCTCTTCTGTTTTTCTGTTCCTTTCCTTTCTAAAGCCTCAACGCTCGGGGAAACAATGGAGGGTATCATCTGTTCGAGGTTTAAAGGATCTCCAAATCTCTCATGGTCTGCTCAATATCTGTTTCGTTTTGACATGCTGGGTCAATTTGTTATTTAATTTATCTGAGCTTTTAATTCATGGTTTTGTCTGGCCAGACCAGATCTCTGTCCAAGAGTAGCTGGCTTTCTCTATTTGATTTTGGATTCTTCACTTAGTTTGAAGTTAATTTCGACATGCAAATCACTGGAAGACACATCTCTCTTTCTCTCTCCCCCGTCTACCCGTATGTAGATGTAGGAATGTAATTGTCGATATCATGGGAGAATGAGATGAATTAAGTTGTTGAAATTGACCGAGTATCTATTTTGACTTTTATCTGAGAGCACGAAAACAGCAGATTCTTTCTTTCGTGTGACCTGTGGAGACATATTTTCTTGGTTTCGGCTTCTGTGTAAAAACCTAACGTGAATATTTTTCCCATGGCTGCAGAAATTGAGGATTACTGCTACTAGACAAGCCTCTACTGCAATGGGGGATTACGAAGTTATTGGTGAATTACCTTCTCTGAAGGCAAATAACTCTAGAAAAGTGTCAGTTCTTCCTCTTGTATTTCTCATTTTTTATGAGGTCTCTGGGGGTCCTTTTGGTGTGGAGGACACTGTGCAAGCCGCTGGCCCTCTCTTAGCTTTGCTTGGGTTCTTGGTTTTCCCATTGATATGGAGTATTCCTGAAGCTTTGATTACTGCAGAGATGGGAACCATGTTTCCGGAAAACAGTGGTTATGTGGTTTGGGTTTCCTCAGCTTTGGGTCCCTATTGGGGTTTCAGCAAGGTTGGATGAAATGGCTAAGTGGGGTAATTGATAATGCCTTGTACCCAGTAATGTTTCTTGACTATTTGAAGTCAGGAGTCCCTGCTTTAGGGGGTGGCATGCCAAGAACTGTTGCTGCATGGGGTTTGACAGTTCTTCTTACATACTTGAACTATAGGGGTTTAACCATTGTGGGATGGGTTGCTACTCTTTTAGGGGTTTTCTCTCTCCTTCCTTTTGTGGTTATGGGAATTTTAGCCATTCCAGACATGGAACCTTCAAGATGGTTGGTGACAAATTTGAATGGTGTGGATTGGAATCTGTATTTGAATACTCTATTTTGGAATCTCAACTATTGGGATTCCATAAGTACTCTTGTGGGAGAAGTGGAGAATCCAAAGAAAACTCTTCCTAAGGCTCTCTTTTATGCTGTGATTCTGGTAGTTATTGGGTATTTTTTTCCTCTTCTAATTGGTACTGGTGCTGTTCCTCTCAATCAAAAATCGTGGACCGATGGGTACTTCTCAGATATTGCTAAGATTGTTGGAGGAGTTTGGTTGAGATGGTGGCTTCAGGCTGCTGCTGCAATGTCAAATATGGGGATGTTTGTTGCTGAAATGAGCAGTGACTCTTTCCAACTTCTCGGGATGGCTGAGAGGGGAATGTTGCCTGAGTTCTTTAGGAAGAGGTCTCGATATGGAACCCCTCTCATTGGCATTCTATTTTCAGCCTCAGGCGTGATTCTACTATCATGGCTGAGTTTCCAAGAAATTGTAGCTGCAGAAAATTTCCTTTACTGTTTTGGAATGATTCTGGAGTTCATAGCATTCATATTGCTTAGGATCAAACACCCCAACATGCCTCGGCCATACCAGGTACCGGGGGGAACAGTTGCAGCTATTCTTATGTGTATCCCTCCAACAATATTGATTTGCGTTGTACTGGCTTTTTCCTCCATCAAAGTGATGGTTCTGAGCCTCATTGCTGTGTTAATTGGTCTTGTGTTACAGCCTTGTCTGAAACTTGTTGAGAAAAAGAGATGGTTGAAGTTCTCTATCAACTGTAATCTCTCAGATCTTGACAATGAGGAGGGTTTGTCTTTGGTAGATTGATTTCTCTTGATTCACGAGAGGTGTGAAGGAAAGATGCAATCCAGAATAAGATGATGAGGTCAATATATGCACAATATTCAGGTTAAGGCCTCTCCGAATCACAAGAAACAAAGAAGGGGAGCTTTGTTTCCACTTTCCGCTCAAGTATGCCTGGGCCAATAATCTTTAGCTGTTTATCGTCTTTGTTTTAAATTTGATGATAAATGGTACGGTTATTAGAAATATGCAAGGTAGTTTTTAAAATATCTTGGGAGATGAAGTTACTTAGTTTCTTTATGATAATTCTTGGACATCCCTGCATTGGCTGTGTGCTAAAAAGGGTATATATGGTAGCTTCATTTTTATCTATATGCTTGGCTGCATATTTACTTTAACTGGAAGTGATTCAAATTTCAGAAAGTAGTTCTAGGCAATTATAGAGGGAAAATGGTATTTAAAAAAAAAAAGAGAGAATTATCACTACTTGAATTTCCTAATTGAAGTGCACTATGATAGTCCAAGGAGAGTTTGATGTCACTAATTGAATAATGAAATTACTGCCGGCTTGGTTATATCTCGGGCTGTACAACCTTTACCGTAAATATCTGTAACGCAAGCCTCTCTTGATATCCACTTAAAAAATATTCACTTTCTTTAATTATTTTGTATGTATTAGGCTTTGGAAGAGAGACAGAAAAAAGAAAACCTTAGGGTTTTTAGGTTTGGAGCTTTTCCCACATCTCGCATCTCCAACCCCTTTCTATTCTCCAAGCTTTTGCTTGGTAATCCTTAGGCCTAAACCCTAAGCCATCTTCCGTGATTCTCCAAGCTCTTTCTTGGTAATCCTTAGGCCACTTACTTTTGCTACTTTTCCGTGGCTTTGCTCTTTCCGTTCTGCTTTATCATCTTTCTTGAGTTTTAGGTTCTGTGTGGCATCACGAAGGAATAGAGTGAAAGTATTGTTTTCTTGTAATCTCCACTATGCTTTGTTTTTACAACTTTTTAAAGTTGCAACTTGAGGACCATTTTCCATTCATAAAGTTACTTATTCTTTTGTCTTTTTTTTTAATTTCTTTCCATTGTGGGTATCCTATTGCACTTTTTACCTATTACATGTGACTTAAATTGTTTCGTGCTGGTGCTATGTCATTTTGGCAGTTTCTAAACTGTTTCAGTCGAAGTGTTGCTGTGGACCTTCTGACCACAGGCAGAATATAAATTCTCTGTAATGCTAAATGTATAAGTCTAACTTGTTTTTGCATGTGCCATTTTTTTTTTGACATTGATTAAATTTCTAATTTCGAGGATAGAAACTTCAATTGTCAGGACAAAGCATTTAATTAAAGAAAAATAGTACCTAGTAAATGTAATTTATGAGGACAAAAGTTTTAACACCAAAGAAACATATTCCTTGCCCTAATATTTGATCCTCAGTTGAATATTTTTTTTTCAAATTATAATGAAAATGTTTAATTTACAATTTTTATGATGAATTTTTTCACTACTAAGATTTCATCTTAATATTTTTATTTTGACAATTAAATATTTTTATCCTTATAAAAGAAACGCACACATGAATGCATGCCAAATAATGAAGCATGATCCAGCCCGAAATCAAGAAAAACGCAATGACCTATGCTATATCCGTTTGTGTCACATTTCGTGTTTCGTTTGGTTTAATGGAATTATTGTTGGCTTTATATTAATAAGAAACGTGGCAAATTACGTGACTTGGCTAGTTTTCACCGTTAATATATTCTTGATCCTTCATGTGGGGTAAGCTATTTTGTACAGTGTAAGATAAGGGCTCCTGTTACTTAAAGGAGTGCCAGCAATTTGATATGGTATTTATCGCTCATAGTCTCATACCGTCCGGGGTGGGAGGGGGAAGATGTGATTATATATTGTTAGTTTGTTACTATCAAGAATCAAGCCATTACTTGAAGTCACAATTCTATAAGAGAAAATGACAATAAATTTCTAAAATACAATTCTTTTTTCAATTAGGTCTCAACAAATTTTTTCAAAAAAATAAGTTGCATTTGAATAATTGCAAATAAAAATTTTAATTGTAAATTAAGAGTTATATTTAAAATCTAATTTTTTTTGTAATTAAAATTATCTGAATTAATATTCACAACTGATTTTACAAAAACATTTGTTATGGACTTAACTGTCATATATTTATTATTATAAAACTTTAATATCATTGTCTCATTCTACAAAAAAAAGGAATGGATAAGTCAAATTATAAAATTTTAATAAAACAGATGTAAATTATAACTAAAAAGAAAATTGATTAGATTTTTTTAAACTCAATTTCTCCATTTTTTAAAATCGAATTAATTATATTTTTTACTTTTTATTCAAGAGCAAGTGACAGGACTTGGTTACCGCGCGACGTTTCCACAAACATATTTGTTTTTAAAGAAAGAAACATATATCCACAAACATATTCGCACATGTATGCGCATTCTATATTTCTTCTTTTTTAAGTCCTAATGGTTTGAAGGGTTGAATGCTACAAATATAATATATTTTTAATTTTTTAAAGTATAATCATTATCTTTTTTTTAAGTGCCTCTATTAAATAAATTACTTTATATTTATTTTAGAGTGAAACACTTATTAAATATGAATAAATATGAAAAAATAGAGTTAATTTAAAAATATTCCTTCCATTAACAAATGTAAGGCATTTTTAATTAAATTTTACCTCCAATAAAGTAGTTGCTTACTTTTAAACTAACTTTATCTTTTTATATTTACTCCTATTAAACACCCTATAATAAATATAAAACCATTCATTAATAGGGATACTTTTAAAAAGAAGATAATGATTACATATGAAAAGACTAAAAATGTTTTATATTTTTGAACATTTAACTTCTTAAAAAAATACTTTACATTTTTAAATAGAAGGAATAAATAATTACTCTCTTAATTTTTATTTATAAGAGAAACTATTACTTTTAATTTATTTTTTATGTAAGCAAAATCACAGTTCTCAATGAGCATTTTTATAAAATTTTTAAATTATCTCTAATAATTTTATTATTCATAATCATATAAAATTTTTAAATTATCTCTAATAATTTTATTATTCATAATCATAATAAATAATTAATAAAAATGTAATTAACATAATTAATAAATGATATTGTAATTTAATTTTTTTATTTTTAAACATGATTAATATAGTTAATTGATTTTTTAAATTGTGTGAGATAATTTTTTTTATAAATAAAAACTAAGGGAATACTTTATTAAAAGATAAAAATTTAATTAAAAATATTTAATGGAAGGAGTATATTTAAAATGTAAATGTCAACACCCGCCAACGCCATATCGTCTCGACGTTTCGAATTGAATTATTGAAGAGCTGTGTGTCTCTGTTTTGCCAAAGAGGAAACTAGGAAGGATGAAGAAAAGGGGGAAAAGCAAGGTCGCGATGGTTGATCTTCTCACAACGCCATCACCGAGATCTTCCCCGCCGTACGATTCCCCGAACTCGGCGATCTTCATCAGAACGGCTTCGATCTCCAAGAACACTAAGAGAACAACGGTTGGCCTCTCCAAATCTCAAACTCTCAAGACTGTCAGCAATGTCTCGGAGTTGAAGGACCTCGCTTCTACGCGTCTTGACGAACTCAAGAACCTGATTGATAGCTCTCACTCAGAGATCCTCAACAATCTCGAGGCTTCCCAGTCACGTCTCCGCAAGAGACTTAAGGTATTGCTCGTTCATTTCACTTGGCCTCTTGGTATAATAGCATTAGTGTGATCGTAAATTTGTCTTCTGGAAGCTATCAGACCACATGCGCTCCAAAGTAGCATCGAAGTTTTTGAGAACTTCGAATTTTGTTTGGCTGCAAGAAAGAATGAATTCATTGAAGAGACTAAATGACGTCGCATGATCCGGAGCAGTAGAAAAAGTGAAATATAAATTTGGAATCTATCATCGTATTCTCATTTTCTTGGTAGTCACGTATAAGAAATCCTGATAGCTGATTGTTTCATCTTCATAAATCCTGATGCACATTCGACTCAATTAATTTTGTCGGGAATTAAGTTTCGACAACCACGGTGATCTAAATAAATTGCGTTGTTTCTATAGTCTTTTTTAGGCCAGAGCAATGTTGCTATGGTGTCTGTGTGGTTTAGCGTCAAACTAGCCATTCGATACCATTTTCGAGAAAAATGAAAAAAAAAAAAGAAAAAGGAACGCTAGTCAAAACGCTCGTCGTTGTTTGATTAAATCTCGTCTCTGTTTACAAGTTTGACAGTGACATTCTGTAAATTCGGATTGTTAATCTTATTAACTTCACTATTTATTTTTAAATTCTACAGATGCAGACTCAGTCATGCCAGCAAATAATGGATGAAGCAGATAAAGAATATAAAAAAGTTTCTGAAAGAATTGCTGAAAATCAAGAATTAATGAAGGTGTCGCCTCCATTATTTTACTTTATATGATGGTTTGAAAACATTCTGAGATTCTTATTGTTCTTTTCAGGCCTCATATAGTGAATTTATTGCAGATGCACAGATCAACTCATCGCGCGGTATGTTTGTTTTACTCAAATTATTATACTCTATCATTATCCTTGGTAAGCTTTTAGCCTGCACATACGTCATAGAATTTTATGTATACATGACCGCACGTTACGTTATTACAGTTTAGTTTCTTTTTCTTAGGACATATTTTATACAGAATTCGGATCTATACACGCACACGGCACATACTGCACGCATTTGTCAGATTGTCAATAAATCTTTTGAGAGACACCCGTTTGAATAGAGAAGCTGCTGATTTTTTTTTTTCCTCCAAAAATTTCAGCCAGCAAAACGTCCATTGCAGACCTATCGCAGTCATTTGACAAGGCAATTGACTCTCTTCGAAAACGTTTCGGAATTTCGTCAACCTAGCCAACTGACAGCTCTGTAAGGCAAGTGGCAATTCTAGATGCGTTCGATGAACTATGTCTAAGAACTGGTTTTGTACCTAACATTTCGAGTTGGAATTTGTGATGGACTACGGCAAGATCTGCTCGATCACATTGCCTTTTCCAAATTTTAACATTCCCTCTGTTAAACTGATTGTCCTCCTATAGTGTTTGATACTTGAAAAGATTGGGGAAATTCAGTTGGATTTTAGAAAATTGCGCTGCTTACATAACATAGGCAATGAATCTCCACTTTCTTTTAGTGACACTCTCGGTTAAGCGACACACATTTACAATGCAGAGCAGCAATCGGACCACATATAAGTCTTCACTAGGCCAGGCTCTTGACATTAACGACCCTACAAGCAAGTTAACATAAATTGCTTATTTTTTCTTATTTCCCAAAAAATGAACGCAATTTATCTTTTTGAACCTAATTTTTGATGATGGCAAGAACTTAAAATGAGGGGAAAGGAACTGGGATTCATTCCCAAAATACCCCAGTTTGTCTTCAATGAACCCAGAAAAGATGCATCAGACTGTCTGCAGATCATACCCTTTAGTGATAAAATCTTGTCAAAGCAAAGTGCTGAAACTTTCAACAGGATCAGATTCTTCAAGCATGGAAGCTGCCTGGAAGCAGTCAGCAGCATCACCTATTCGGCCATCATACTTGTGAACTTTTCCCAAGTGAAACCAAGCTGTACGGTTAGTGGGTTCTAATCGAAGTGCATCAGAAAGTAAGCTTCTGGCTAAAGGCAAAGGTTTTGACTTTGAATCCAATTTCAGCAGCAAAACACCCATCTGGATCTTGCTTGGAACATAGCATGGTCCAAACAGGAGACCTGTCGTGATAGCAGAAACAGCTTCTTGATTTTGTCCACGTCCTTCGCACAAAAGACCTGTTAGAATCATACAGGAAAGTATTAAATGTCTATATACACAAAATAAATGTTATATTTAGTTATAAAGCAAAAGAGAATCTTCGGAATAAATTTTCTATAATTTTGTTTTCTACTCTCTTTAATTCAAACATAACCTTACTATTCTTGTATACGTGCTCTTCCAATACCATTGGAGTTTTGCAGGTCGGGGACTAAATCCTCTGTACTGCCTCCCCTAAGGTAAGGTTGTGATTTTAATAAAAATGGAAGGGGGAAGAAGAAGAAGAAGAAGAAGACGAAAGAAGAAGAAGAAGAAGAAGACGACAGTTCAACAAGCTAGATTAGAATATCAAACTTAAGGCTTTGTTCTTGCCTTCAATGTGCACTGTCTCTGCTGAGTACTCCTTCAATTCTCTGGCCTTTTGCAAACAAACTTCAGCATCCTTCCAATGAGAAAGGCTTGCATATAAATTTGCCAGACCATGCCAAACATCAATTTCCTTCACATCATCTTGGACCTAAAACAAATTAACAAAGCAAAGATTAAATTCAAAACATGCAATTATACATGAAGGATCACATGAAAGGATGAACATATATGTATTAGTTGGAGAAATACAACTTGTTTTCTTCTTCCCCAGTACAATCGTTTTCTTTCAGCAAAACTAAAAGGGAAGCAAGTAGTTACTGTTTGATATAAAAGATAAAAGTAAAATAAAAAATTGATTTCAAATTTTAGAAGCAAATAAGTTCCAAGATGAAGCAAATTAGTAAAGGGATAAACGTAAGCTCATTTCTTCATGACTTAGGGTTCTCTTTTCTCCCAAAATCATGGAGACAGCTTTGAAGTATTTGCTTTAAAATAATTATAGTTGAGTTTCTTGAAGAGCATCCATCTCCAACAAATAACCCAATATTTTCCTGTACGAAAAAATTATTAAAAAAAAAATTCTTGCTTCTGCAACTATCCTAACCAAAAGGAGGAAACGGCTCGGCAAACACAAGAGGCGACTTGCATAAAAGAAAATTAAAGCGCTGAAATGACAAAAGATTCAGAGGATATCCACTTCGTAGGTCACATGTATACTCGGCAACTAAAACAATTTAAATGACAAAAGGATAAAAAGTAGTAAATGCAATCTACCACTGTTAAGATAGCACATGGCATAACTTTACCTGTGTATTTATTTTCATAGGCCCAAAGGAATTCTTTTGAGCTTGAATCAATGCAAGGAGGTATCTATAAGTTTCAATAGCATCCATGGGTTGTGATTGGGATATCTTGAGCTTTGCTTTCAGTCTAAGAAGTGGCCCTTGCTCCCATCTTGCAGTCTCATCTAAAGCAGCATTTATCACCACTTCGGCCGCCGTGAATCGTTGTTGAGCAGACAAAATCAGAGCAATCAATCTCCAACCTTCCAACATAGATCCTCCTGTTTCATCAAAGAACTGCTTTGCATAGCGCAAAGAATTTGTCAAATTTCTGTGTTCTGCGTACTTTACTCCAAGCTCAAAAATCAGATCAGAATTGTTACACTCAAATCCCATTGCCCCTTCTAATGATTTCAGAGCTTTGGACTGAAGATTAGACCTTTGAAAGTCCGAGGAAGCAACCTTAGCTTGCTTTCCCAGACAAAGTCCCAGCATCCTAAGACTCACACCTTTTAGATGCTCGTTTATGCCCTTGGCATTGCCGATTGCCCTCTGTGCATACCCCACTCCCTCAGCAGCAAGATGAAGATTCTCACTGCAGATCCTGGCAGCCACTAACAATGATTCAATATCATTTGGTCTCTCATGTTTGTGCAAAGATTTCCTTAGTAGATCCAGAGCATTTTCGTTTTGTCCTGCTCCATAGAGGCATAAAGCTAGAAGATTCCAACGATCAATACGATGATACAATCCAGGCACTAACTCTTCAAGCTGCTTTGCTAGAACACAAGTTTGGCCACAGACAGAAAGTGCAAAAGTCAGGTGCTCCATCACTGAATGATCCCATTTGGACTTGTCAATGCAAAGTCTCCTTACAGCAAGCATTAGAAGCAGAATTGCCTCTTCCAGATTGTTTTTTGGTACATAAAACCCCTCGCACTGATCAGTCGCCTTGGGTGGGCTAGCCTCGAACCCACCATGCAGCAAAAGCATAGCAAGTCCTTTCTGAACTCTAGCACAGCCATCAGTATCAAAGTTCCATTGACTTAGAAGTTGAAGAGCACGCCTATAAGCAGACAATGCCTCTTGATAGCTACCTGCTTGTTTTGTAAGATCTGGAAGAAGTCCTACAATGCCACTGACTACTTCCTGCAATGTGTTGTCCAATTGAATATCAGATACACCCTGACTGAATGTCTTCTCAATACCCTCAAGCACACTTTTGCATTCCGTGGTAGCTTCTGAATGAGCAATCAAACAAGCATGACAGTATATTCAATGAGAAGTATAATATTAGAGGGGTTGGGGGATTTATTTCATTTGGGAAGAAAAGCAAGATACAAAAAACGAGGCTAGAATTTTTTTTTTAGTCCCTTTATTGTGAAGTTATTGTATAACTCGGAGAGAGAAGATGGAAAAGAGAGAAATTTACAGCAAAGAACTCTAGGGGATCTTTACACTAAAAGAAAACTGCACAATGAATGGATAATCACTTAAAAATTATATTTAATACCAGTTATTTTCCCCTGCTTTCGTAGAGTTTTTGTTTTGAAGTAGAAGGATTCAAGCATCAAACTAGCGGCATGCCTACGGATTAAGGTAGGTGATTCAGCACGAGGGCGAGCTTTCTTGGCCGATGATTTATCAGAAACCAAAGATTGTAATTGCTGAAGGGCAGCTTGGAGATCAACCCCGTCAAACACACGAAGAGCACTTGCAAAATTACCTCTTTGATACTCTAGCTTCCCAATAAGAGTTCTTGCTTCCTGATAAGAGTATAAAAGTAAGCATGAAGCACTTCCCCAGTATAAGTCTGCAGGTATTGTTTTTATTCAATCACAATAAATGAGATGTGCCTTGCCAGATTATCAGATATCAAAATGAATATTTCATTTCAACTGCACTACAGAATGTGTCAACAATTCAGGTCCAGGTCCAGTCTTGCTAGACAATGGTGATGATTGATGGGACAACATTACGCAATTAAGATAAACAGATCAGGCGATGTAGTTTGAATATTTGAAATTTGGTTGTGCCACACATTCGACCCCCTCCTATATTATACATTCTTTTAAAAAGAGTGACAATAAGATATTTACAATGAGGGGATCTACATTTCATCATTATATTTCTCATATCTATCCTTGCTATATTTCTCTCTAAATGCATCATATGCATTCATTTTTGGGAATGTATTGGTAACAATTTGAGTGCTAGTTGCGCCAATTTCCTTGTGATTGGCTATTGATATCGGCAAAGGGAAACGAAAATAGAAGAAGCTAGGCACAAAGGGAGTATACGACGATGCGTGTGAAGGGATTTCGATAAAACTACCTCAGAAGTGATAGATAAGCCCTCTTTCAATGCAGATTCAGCGGCTTCGACATTTCCTTGGTCGAGGCTGGATTCAACTTCTGCAGTATTCATGTGATTTCCATTTGCATAGAACTCTCGATCACCTGACGACCTCTCATTCTCGCTCTTCTCCATCATTCATCTCCCAACCACCAGCATCCTCTTAAACCGTCTTTCTTATAATTCTTTTTTGAAGCTCATTAGATTGAAAAACTCAGCATACTTTTTGATAGAATTGATCGATGCATTTGCATTACGTAGTTTTTTGATTCATTTGTTTGATCCATTTATAGTTTTGAAACGAATCGCTTCTCTACCTGAGAGAATATTTTAGTAACAGAAACGGATGGGGATACAAAGCAACAAAACCCATCTGATTCCAAGATGGTGACGTTCCAGAATTTGACGCGACGAAACGAAGTCATTTCCCACGACGTTGCGCTCATATGATGCAATATATTAAATTAAATAGATAACCTATTTTTAGTTTTTTTGATACATCGGAAAAAAGAATAAACAACAAAAACAAAATCTTTTAGTTTTATTGCATTTGGTTTAAAGTTAATGAAATACAGAAAGGAATAGAAATATTAGTTTTTGAAAACTGTAGAGTCATTTTTCTTTTAATAATTTTCCCCCTAACTTCACATCTTCATCTGTAAAAATTATAAAAGTTATTATGAGTTTATATTTTTTATTTTATCTTTTTTTGTCAGCAATTTTAATTTGTTTTATCAAAATTTCATATTTACAAGCAGGATATGATTTTTTTTAGCGAGAGCTTTATTTTTTTAAAAAAAAAGCCTTTATGAATAGCAATTTTGTAAAAGATAATATTAGTTTTAATTATTAATTATTATTTCTGTCTTAATTTATAAAATATTTTTAAATTAAATTAGATATATCAATGAATATATTTTTTTAAAAAATATAAAGTATTTTTTAAAAAGTTGAATGTTAAAAAATATAAAATATTTTTAATTTTTAAAATATAATTATTATTTTTTTTAAATACTCCTATTGAATAAATAATTTTATATTTATTTTAAAATGAAACATCCTATTAAATAGAGATAATATAAAAAAATAATATTAATTTAAAAATAAATAATTATTTTATTAAAATAAAATTTAATTTAAAATATTTTTATTTTTAAATAGAGATAGTATTAAATATACTTTTAATTTTATTATTTTTTAAAAAAATTATAAATTAAAAATATCATTCATTTAATATTTAATTTATGAAATAATATTAAAAAAAAGAGGGTATTATAAAAAGATAGTATTAAAAAATTATTATTAATAGAGTTTTATTTTCATCAAAATTTTTTATAAATTGAGAGTGAAAAATATCATCTTCAACTTTTGACATACAAACACTATATAATATAAGAATTGATAAATTTAAATTTAAATATAAAATTTAAAATTTTACGTTTTAAATATTAAATTTAAAATTCTTGTATTTAAAAATATTTTATTGGAGCAGTTTAAAAAATTTTAAATAAAAAAATAAATTGAAAACAAAAAAATAATAAATTTATTTTTATTTTTTAATTAATAAAAAATAATAAAAAATATCAGAGTTATATAATTATTAATTACCAATAATAAATATGTGAAAAGAATAAGATAATGTTTGAAATAATTAAAATTTTAAATAATTAAAATTAAAATATAAAAAATTTAAAGTTATAAAAAAGTATAATTTAAAATGTTTAAATTTAAATTCATAATTCAGGAATTTTTGTAAATTTAAATTAGAGATTTCATTCTAATCCAAATTAATCCAGATACTCCATCATAATAATATTTGTATTTAAAATGGTCCCAAAATGTCAATTTCTTCCATTTTCCTGATAATAACCAACTCAGTATTTCGAAAACCAGTGTTTACTTTTCAGATAGTTCGGCCATGGATCTGCTCTCAATCTCTTCTTCCCCCCTTCAACTTCGCTGAGCTCCCTCAGGCTTCCTCACCCTCTTTCAAAGCCGTCTATTTCCTGGTTTAATTCCCAAATTGCTATTCCCTCTCGTCCCCATTCTTCAAGAACTTCGCTCGGATGCATGCTTGCATCCTCACCGAAATCCCCTAAAACCCTAAATTTTGTGTCCCAACCTGAAATCTTCAATGATACTTTCAAATTATCTTCTCCTCAGACGCCTGCTACGGCCATGAGGGGAGCTGAAACTGATGCGATGGGGCTATTGCTTAGGGAAAGGATTGTTTTCTTGGGTAGCAGTATCGACGATTTTGTGGCTGATGCAATTATCAGTCAGCTGCTGCTTCTGGATGCTCAAGATTCCACAAAAGATATTAGACTCTTCGTCAATTCGCCTGGTGGCAATCTGAGGTAAGATTTTGCTTTAGTTATTTGTCTCTATCACTCGGCGTGTGGCCATTTCGCTTTAGTTGTGGTTTGCTGAGGAATGGAAAAATTAGAAATAGATAAATTGTAACAAAATTTGGAAATGTATAATATAGCTTTTAGTTAGATAGATTAAGAACGGAAGATAGACTGATAGACGGGGGAAAGGAGAATCTTGGTGCTTATGAGTTCTTTCCATTATATGAATATAAGAAGGACTGATATGAAGGTGTTTAATAATGATCTTCTTTCCGTATATTTATGGACTTATTTCATGTTATAACATAGTCAGTGACCAATATTCTTGATTTACGATACTCTAAAACTTCATGAAAGATTGAACGCTTGAAAAGTTCCTTTCTCTCATGCTTGTAATTCAGTTCCTTTACTGCTTCTATCATTCAATCCCACTTATCATATAACAAATCAACTGTAGCCTTATCAGCATTAAAGACTTGAGATTTTCAGATCTAGCCTCTTCAATTACTTGTTTCGTCAAGTTAGCCATGTAGGATTCGCCCTTGTACTCTTTAAAGTTTAAACCCATCAAGTTACATTTCCTAGTCCTATTTCACTGGTTTATTTGTACCTAGCGTCATGATGGCACTTTCTTGGCCAGCCTTGTCTTCAAATATTTTGATTTTGTATCAGATACTACCGCTTGTCACTATACTCACTTTCATCCCACCCCACTACTTTTTATTGTTTAATGAATCTCTCTCCTTTTGCAACAAAGTGTCTCTCAGTGTGTTATGTAATAAATAAATAAATAGATAAGGAGTAGTTAAGGGGTTAATGGGTAGTTAGCTTAGTTAGTTAATTAGAGTTAAGGGTATTAGGTTGTAAATAGAAGAGTCAGTCAGTTTGTAATAAGATTTTGAGAATGATAATGAGATGAAGGAAATTGAATTCCTCTCCCTATTTTCCTCTTGTCTCTCTATGTTTCTCGAGATGAGTAATGAGTTGGAGTTGGAAGAGCTTATGGGGAATTATAGTGAGGTGAATGGAGATGAAGATTGATATTTAGTATAATTGAAAAATATAGTTTTATTTTTCTTTTTATTTTTATTTGCAACTTATTGTGAACATCTTATTTTATAATTAAAACTAGAATTTAACCCGTGCAATGCACAGGAGGTAGGAAAATTTTATTTTATTTAATTTAAAGCATTATAGAGAGGAGAGAAGTGGTAGAAGATTTTGGTTTATTTAACTTAATTATTATTTAATGTTAGCTGAACATAAATAATTTAAGAGAAAAATAAAGAAGAAGAAAGAATTTAGATCATTGAAAGAAGAAATAACAAAAGATGGAGAAGAAGCATAGTGGGCGAAGAAAGCCGTGGATGGAAAAAAGAACTTGACAGAAGGTGAAGGGCTAATGATTGGGAAGGACAGCTCGTGAAAAATGAAAAATAAAAACAGAAGGGCAAGAAAAGAACTTTACTGTTCAAACAACTGTAGACCTACAGTGACCTTGACGGATTTTACAATATAAGAAGATACTTGTTTACAATTTTTTGTTATTTATTTTTTATTTTTAATTTGTTATGAGCTTGTCAGCTTGTGCATATACTTGTTATAGTACCCTATCCTTACCCTAAAATTTAGGAATTACTGTATCTAGCATATAGTATCATGTTGTACTTGATAGGCATATCAGCATTGATGCTTTGGATATGATGTGGGTAGAAATTGAACCCTTGACATTAGACTAGTTTCATGTGAGCTAGAAAGGTCATTGGCAAGTAGCATTTTCATTGGTGCTCGTCTGCTTGGTTTGGTTTCTTCTTGTGTTTATTGGTCTCCCTCGGCTTGCATCCTTATAACTGCTGAGTTGATAATCTATTCAGTGCTACAATGGCCATCTATGACGTGGTACAACTTGTGAGGGCTGATGTTTCCACAGTTGCACTCGGCATTTCAGCTTCAACAGCTTCCATTATCCTTGGTGGTGGCACGAAAGGCAAGCGTCTTGCTATGCCCAACACACGGATTATGATTCATCAACCTCTTGGAGGCGCTAGTGGACAAGCTATAGATGTAGAAATTCAAGCTCGAGAGGTTATGCACAACAAAAATAATGTTACGAGAATTATATCTGGTTTCACCGGTCGCTCATTCGAGCAAGTCCAGAAAGATATTGATAGGGATCGGTACATGTCTCCAATTGAAGCAGTTGAATATGGAATAATTGATGGGGTGATTGACAGAGATAGCATTATTCCTCTGATGCCTGTACCAGAAAGGGTCAAATCACCTCTGAACTATGAAGAAATAAGTAAAGACCCGAGGAAGTTTTTGAACCCCGATGTCCCTGATGAAGAGATATACTAGCATTGGATTATCGAAAAGCTGCTGTAACGAATTTCTCAGATTTGTCTTGGGAGAAATTTGGTTAAGAATAGTGAACCACTTATTCAGGTTATTAACTATCTCCATTATTTATCATGTTGTAGCTTTATAATGCTTAAAATGGCTTGGTTTTTACCTCGTTGAAATAAAAAGTTGTCGTTAGCGGGCTAGTTCCTTGTGTATTGAGGTGAGAATATGGAGTTGTTTACTTGTTCTCTCTCATATCTTTTTCCTCCTTGTTTTTTTGGCAGTAAAAGGCAAATTGACAGTAAAAGGAAAATTGATAAGAAAACAGGGTTATAACAAGGACGCAGAGATACTAAACAAACAACTCTTGCAACCTCACCGAGACACCTAAGGCAATCTTAAGATTCATAGCCCATAATAAGAAAGTCTAAAAGTATGACAACCTTAAGCAACAGGTGAAGAAACCTAGCCAATCTGGAGAAAATAACAGAAGAACATACACAATACAATAAAAAGGTAAAGGTATAAATCTGTCTTTAAAATATCAGGCGAAGGGCGTCAAATATTTTGAAGTAAGGAAAGGTGTAACATTGCCTCCAGTCTATGAAAAAGAGAGTAATATTGCTCAATTTTAATAGACTTCAAATTTTGACAGTTAAGTTGACTTATTATGTCAAAGTGGCTTACACATGTGGTATCTACTACTTCAAATCAAGACTTCGCACTTGCCCAATTCTTCATTCCAACCTTTGAAACTAACTAGGGAAAAATCTTATCATCATCATCATCACGACTATCTTCAACTAGTTTGCCTTCCTCGCCCCCATCCCCATTGTTGTCATCGGCCACCTCATCCTTGTCATTTTCCTCGCCAGCTTCATTGGCACTTATTAGAACAAGCAAGGTTCTAACTGTCTTCCTTGCCTACATGTTCAAGCTCATCGTTCATCCTTACTGATTTCTTGCCATTTAGCTTTGTTTAAGCTCACCGAGTTCTTACTAGCTCTGCCAAAGCTCGCTACTCATCCTCACTGATTTCTTGCCATTTAGCATTGTTACATTCAAGCTCATCGAGTTCTTGTTGTTTAGATCCATCCAAGCTCGCTGCTCATCCTTGTTGATTTCTTGCTATTCGTTTAAGATCGCCAAGTTCTTGTTTGTGCTTTTCTACTTTTGATTTGATTCCAATTGGGTTCTAGATTTGCTTTGTGGCTTCTCACTTCCAGATTTGTTTGTTGAATATTTAGTCAATTCTAGTCCCCTTCTTTGAGTTGCTAAGATTATTCTCTTATAATGGTTTTTGTTAATGATTTGTTCAACTCACCGTTATTTCAAATGTGTTTGAGAATAGTGATGAGGAATAAGGAAACGATTGAAGGAGGGAGGTGACGGTTTTTTTCATGAATGGTACTTTTATCCCTTTATGAAAAGCTAGAAATCAAATACCCAGGTCTACTAATGGTGTCCATCTTGCAAGCTTCATTCCAAATATGGACTCAAGCGTGTGTTCTTTCCTTCTCTCCATCTTCAAAAGCTAAAAACTCTTTTGTTTGTTTGTTACGAACATGTTTTTTTAAATAATTAAAAAAAAGAATGTCATATAAATTGCCACCTAAGCATTACTCAATCAAACTAAAAGGTCAACCTTTAGGGTTTGTTAAAATTGGGCAACATTGCTCTCTTTTTAATAGATTGAGAGTAACATTGCACCTTCCATTACTTTAGAATACCTAATGTCCCTCGCGTGATATTTCAAGAGCGGATTTGCACCTTTATCCTACAATAAAATGAGAGCAACCACTTCAGGATGCAAAGAGAGCTTCATTCTTCATAAGGTAGGAAAAATGTAGAAGTTGTGCCACTACACCAAAATTTTATAAAGGCAGCTATCGAAACCTACCTTAAATGGGTTTGATGTAAACAATAGTAAAAGATTTGATAGCATTATCAAATCTAAAATCTCTATAGAGAGAATAGTTGCATGTTAGAAGTCATCTCTAACTCTTAGATTGACCATACAAATAATGATGAAAAGCTCATCATCATGATTTTTAACCCTCATTGTATGCTCCTTTGATTCACTTATTAAAAAGCACCAAGTCTCTACAAAATAACAAAATCTCCAAAATACATTAAAATGAAAAACATTCTAGTACAGCTCAATCCATGAAGCTAACATCGTAATGCTTTCTGATCCACCTATTGAGAAGTTAAACATAGATAAGCAACAAAAAACATAAACACCACACGTTATAAACATAAAAGAGATAGAAACCAGCAAATAACACAAAAGACTTCCATCTAACTAATCTTGCAATAGACTCCCATCTTAGAAAAAATATTGATTTTCAACTGGATTCATTTGGCCTCATCCAAAGTGGCCTATTCTAGGTGGGATGGCATGTCTCAATTTCTGTTTTCAAATGCCCTGGGGGTCCTAATGATAGATTGGGATGTCATTTCTTGAGTACATGACTTCACGTTTTCTCTATTTAAAATTTAATTTTTCTTTGATTTTTCGCTTCATTCTTGTATAATGTATAGAAACTTTAACTTTAAAATTTATTTTTTGAGCGATAAACCTATTTGTGATTGTGTAATTATAAATCTTGAGAGCAAGTTAGACTATTCACAATTGACTTTTTTGACATTTTATAGATATATAAGGATATAAATTGAAATAAGGTACAAATACACCCCTAATCTTTTTCATAAGGTACAATTGGTATCATAAAGTTTTAAAAAGTGTAATGTTCCTCTTATATTTTCAAAAACAATATAATGTTATCCAATTTTAATAAATTTAAATATTTAACTGTTTATTGACTTCATTGAGCTTAGGTGGCATGTCCACATCTTTTGCCACCTTACTTTGGCAAGCCACATAGCATGTTTTAATAATTAAATTTAAAAAAAAATCCATTCTACTTCTATTCCTGGTGTCTTCCTCTTCTTGCTCATTCAACCCAACAATTAATATATCTCTTCAAGGTCCCAATTTAATTCTTCATAAAGTATTGCAAAAATAAAAAGAGACGTAGATAATCACAATTGTTCATGAACCAAACGAGACCCAACCAAACAAATTAATTTAGGGACGAAGAGTCTCAAAGAGTTGATCGAGAGCTATAGTATGAGTTAATAATAGCATTAGCAGCAAACAAGAAAGCGTAACAGAACCCAACAGAAAGCCTATGTAGAAGAAAAAAACTAGATGTGAGAATTTCGAAACAACATGAAAAACCACAGATGACAGATCAACAAGAAACTGGACTTATCCCTCCAAGTCATACTTCCTTTGAGCTCGAAAGCCGAAGGCATACTTTGAGACGTTTCAGAAGGTAGGGACGAAGAGTCTTAGATAGCTGATCGAGAGGCTTGCTAGTTCTTCGCCTAAATGATGATGATTCCCAAAGCACCTAAACCAACAAATGATAATGAACATGATAAATTGGTCTCAAACTACTATGCAGTTTTGAGAGAGAGAGAGAGAGAGAGAGAGAGAGAGAGAAGGCCATGGGTAGCGAGGCAGAGAAGAAGGTCCGATGACCCCAAAGCCCTCATCCAGACCTTCGATCTCCTTGAAGACTCGATGACCCCTGAATCTAAAGGCGGCAGCATCGTAAGCCCGGCGGCCTGCTCTCTTCGTCCCTCTCTATCCTTTCCAGCCTTTGTCGCCCAATATCTCCTCTTCTTCTTTGATCCAAATCTATGTGAACCATAGCTCCTCTCTTCATCTTCAAATTTCGAATTTCAAAACCCAAACAAACATGGTTTCAGACTTCAATCTCAGATCTGGACTTGTCCCGCGTGATCCTCCCTTCTCTCCCTCCATCTTCATTCTAGATCCGCCGAACAATTTGCGCGCCCTTCATCCTTTCTTTTTTGTAGAAAACTTGTTTTTTTTATGAACGTGTTTTAATGAAAGAAGAAAATGCCAGATGGATGACTAGGCAAACATGGATGACTAGGCAAGCATTATTTAATCCTACAAGGCATGCCAACAAAGCATAGGTTGGCCAAAAAATGCAAATTAACAGACAACGTTAGGGAATCTTCAGTTTTGAGCAACATTACACTACTTTAAAAAATACAAAAGATACATTATACTTTTTAAAACTTTAAAATACTAATTATATGTTATAAAAAAGTTTAGAGGTGAATTAGCACTCTAACCCATATAAATTCATGTGAATTTATTCTTTTAATTTTACATTTAAATCCATTGGCAACTGTTACTTTTTCCTTAAAAACATTTACTCCTAACCTAGTCTTTTTTTTTTTATACAAACCTAGTCATTTTTATAGAAAAGGAAGATATGTAATTATGCACGCATATGCACATGTCAAGTTGTCAATATTAGATTTGAAAAGACCTCTTCAAATGGAGAAAAAAAATATTACCATTAAGACAATTAATTATGTTTTGAAAAAAAAATTAAATACTTGTTTGTTTTTTATTTTTAAAAACTATTTTTTATTCTCAAAAATTTAAAAATTTGTTTGAATAAGTATTTTTCATTTAATTGTTTTCATTTTTTGTTTTTAAAAACAAAAAAAATACAAACAATTTTAAGTTGTTTTTATTTTATTTTTCTTATTTTTAAAATACACTATATTTAATTATTAAAAATTACAGTTACCTTGACCAATTTTTATTATTAATCACCACCATTAACTGTCTATAACTATCACTATCAATTCATTTTTTTAATTCTAAAGCTGTTTTTTAATTAATATAACCAAACAAATTTTCATTTTATTCTGTTTTAAAAACAATTTTAAAGTGTTTTCAAAAACTGTATTCTAAAACAGGTTTTAAAAACAAAAAATAAAAACAGAAACCAAACAGGCCCTAATATGCACTAATCCAACTACAATAAATTTAAAATGTTATTTCAACTAGATTTTTCATCAGAGGCTGTAACTAAAGATTTCCATTTTGGAACAACATAACGACTCAAGCATAGACCTCTATTTAATACACAAACCCCGCTTCCACTACAGTCCAACTACTGATTTCAGCTAACCCCAGATGTAATCCAACAGTATTGCTGTCTTAATTCCTATTTAAGTATATATGACCTCCATCTCCTCCTACATTTACACGAGGCATATAGAGCCACTCCTCAGTTCAGATGGGACAAGAATGTTACATGCTGCAACTAAAATATGATTAAAATAAAAGAAGACAGCACAGAAGTAAGTGCCAGGAATCAGGAACTCATAACAAGATCCAGGAGACCAAGCATCTTCCCATATTCAATAGCCAACCAAGCCACAAAAGAGCAGTAAGCCAGAAAGAAACAAGCTCGCCTTAAGTGCACAATATTGGCAGGCCGAGGAAATATCCATGTTACACAAAATCGACATAGTCCAGAGAGTAGCAGATACAGGAACCTTAAAAACGTCATGGAGATCAAAGAACTTGAAAACCCAGTCACCACTCCAGCTATCGTTTCCCAATTCCAATAGTTGCCCCCTCCCCTCTTAGTAAACCCGGAATATAACATCTCGATCGTCCTAATCAAAGATATAAACATAAACAGTTCAGTACTCAATGACATAATTACGTTGACATCGAAGTACAAATTTCATCAACTTAGCAGCACTTGCTTCTTCGCAGAATACTGGCCCTTCAACATGTTGATATGTCATTCACCTAGGACTATCTTCTATCAAGTTCCTACGTATCAAAACTTGTAACCAACAAAGCAGCCTACCCTCTCTGTAAAAACAAATTCATGTAATCCATGTGAATTAATTCTATTTCTTAAAACAAACAGACAGACAGACAGACAGCTCCATCTTTACCAAGTAGATCTTAGTATTTAATATTCCATCATAAATGGCATTTTGGATACTTAGAGCGTATTAGATTTTTTAGGTCTGGCCCACCTTTTAGTTCAAGACTTCAAGCATTTGCATCAAAACAAATAAACTAAGAGTTCATTAGAGTTATAAAGAATGTTAAAAATGTTTAACCCACATGTGTCACTCAGTAACTTCATCTTACATTAAATGACCCATGATATCATTGAATTACTGTTAAGAAACCTAGACTTCGGTAAAATGTGGAACAGTAAAAGTACTCACAGAATAAAATACCGTCTAAACATCTCAAGAGTAGATGGCCGATCTGCATGACAACTGAAAACGTCATCTTGGTATAAACGCACTTTGGAAATGCCAGATGCATACCAGCAGTCATAAGACTCATTGACCTTACAAAAGAGGCAGAGAAAATAAAAGGGATATACCAATATCAAAGACCTGAACTACAAATAATTGCTAGCTATTATTATATATTGCATAAAAAAGACAAACATGTCTATTCAATAAAGTCCAGCCCAAAAAACACATAACAGTTGAGACCACTAGTTGTAAGCTGCACCTTGAATTTGTATTGCGTCAACAATGCAGCACCAAAATTAGGCCTGCAATAAAGGGGAAGAGCCTCATTTGGAGCCTCTGAAAATGCAACCTGTGTCCGACTTGAAAAGTGATCTTTATATTCCACCTGAAAAGTGAAGAAAAAGAACTCACTGTTTGCTCTGTGTCTATCACTAATTCACGATTATTAGATGATAAAACATAGACAAGCTGCGTATGTACTACTAAAAGTTTCCGTCAACAGTAGCATGGATTAGATACCGAGATACATAACTTGGACAGCAAGAGAAAATTCTATAGGTCTGCATCGACAGGGACAATAATACAAGGCATAAAACATCAGAAAGAATATTAACAATGCAAACACTTAATGGGCAAGGTATAACAACCTTGAAAACTGAAGCCCAATAGTAATCATAACGACAGTGAAATTTGTTTCTTTCAAAAGGATGGAACAAATTCTTAGCTTTATAATTAAACAATCCAAGTTCACATATCTTAGATGACCTAATATCGACTCCTGCAAAACAATAATAATAAAACAAGCAATTTAGTAAGAAAGCCGAAAAGTAAATTGTGCAAGAACAACTAAAAAATGCTTGAACCTTCAAAGTAAAGGAATATAATCTATCAAACAAAGATCAGAATGGAAACATCAAAATCAAACCAATCATTGCATAACACAAGAAGAAGAAAATTAAGAAAATATACAGTAAATTTGCGCCATCTTGTTATGCAGCTTAATTCAAAATAAATTAACTGCATTTGTAACAAATTATTACATGCCAAATAAGATGAGTAAGGAGATTATTTAGGTGCTAAGGGAAAAAACCACTGCTCTATTATGGTCCAGCTGTAAAGGATTGCGCAGTGGACATGAGATAACAGGAGTTTGAAGACTTAATTTTATATCCTGCAGGAAATGATATAATAATTAAGCTCCATAAATAAAATTCCCGATGGCTAATTAGCCCAAACCTAGTTGTCAGTATACATATGGTCTACTGAAATCTGTGGTTCTCCACTGAAGAACCAAGGGATAATTACAATCTTGCATTTTAAAATTAGTCATGATATAAGGAGCCCCTTAATCTTCACTCAAATTATAAAAATTAACATGGCAATCAAAATTTCCAACTCTGCAGTGAAGAGTCGGAAATTTGGCTTTTGAACCATATACACCTCCATTCCACCACAGAAATTTTGACAAGCCCAATTTCTACCATTGTTGTGCTGCCGATGCATCTTTCGAATTAGGTTACGCTAAAAAGATATTATGCGCGCAACAGATCTGAATTTGTTATACTGATGCAAGAGGTCTTCCAAATGAAAATAAGAAATTGAAGCAGAGGTAACTGAACTCCTTCCTGTGATAGGTTCTGGATTTTTATTTTTTTTTTCATCCGGGAATGCCATTCTCAAGTCTAACCACGCAGTGCTGTTATTAATACTTATAAGCTATGAAAACCACTTTCAGATCAAATGTATCTTAAACAAAAATATTTAACAGCTTGACAAATAAGAGAACTTACTGCTAGATACAATCTTGCACCTGGAAGGCAGAGAAATAGGGTTCGTAATGGAGAAATTTGGGCCTAATATCAGTATAGACCCAGCCATAAAGGAAAGCGTCAAGAAGAGACTAATGGGAAGTAGAATTGCAAGAGCCCATCGAAGGATAGCAGATGGGATAACCTTCTTCTCTGATTCCACCTGGGAGTGATCCATAAATCTCGGAATGGTTTGGACCTTTTTGTAATCTGCTTGATAGAGGAGGATCTCCCTCACTTTCACTAGCCGATCACCGGACCATTTCTCCGGTGATCGGAGTGTTAATGAAAGAGCGTTTAGATTTTTACTCGAAGGTAACTGTAGTTTTGGCAGGCTAAAGGAAATGGAACTCGGCTCGCCCAGGCTAAATTTCATTTATTTATTGGCGTCAAATGTCGAAATCCATTTCGAACTTCGGATTTGGAGCCAATTATCGGAGCCATGACGCAGTGATGCAGGAATTGCTGTCAATCCACGTAAAAAAATAAAGCGTTAAAGTATATTTTTATTAGATCTGATAATTTATACGAATCGAACTTATTTAAATTAAATTTAATTAAAGTTAAATTTATTTAAATTGAATTTAAAGTATTTTATCCTTTCATGTATCCAAGTTAAGTCCTAATATTTTTCAACTGAGTTGAGGCAAGTCCATCAATCTTGGTCAAAATTGTTGACTCGACATATATATAGAGTCAAAAAATTTAACAGTTAGGTGTATTAGGGTGAAGCTCAATTCAGGGTGAATTAATTTGAATCGAACTCAAAGTATCTTACTCTCTTAAAAAAGTTTATATAGTCAAGTCTAACTTTAATTTTTTTAAGTGGATTCAAATTAACCTATCGAATTTGGCTCGAATTACTAGCTCTAATTTTTACCCATTGTTAGCAATTCACATTAAAAATAAAGGAAAAAATATAATTTTGGATGTCTGTACTTTTCTCAATTTTTTATATAAGTCTTAGCAGTTTTTTTCAATGTTCTAAGTTTTTGCACTTTTGTTTTTCAATATTTTAAATCTCTTCATAAGTGGTATTATAGGGACATAAAATATCAAAAAATAAAAGTACAAATACCTATAACAAAATGCAGGGATCCAAATTTATGTTTTCCAAAATAAAGGCTTAAAGTATATTTTTATCCTTGTACTTTTTTTCGAGGAGTATTAAACACCTTATACTAATAAGTGGAGTGTTTTTTTCCCTAAATCATTTTCTAAAGGGGGACTTAGTGATCCATTAATTGAGGGGAACTTTTGCCCTCTCGAAAATAGTTTAAGAAAAAATGTCCTACTTATTAATATAAGGTTTTCAACACTCTACAAAGAAAAGTATAGGGATAAAAATACACTTTAATCTAAAAGTGAATATTAATGGTTATTTTAATTTAAGTAATGACTACTTTTCTTTTGACAATAATACAAATGGAAGAAGCAATTACAACTTAGACTTGAGTAGTTGCTTGTTCTATCCTGGTTGCATCCAAAAGGAAAATAGTCATTGTTTAAATTAAAGTAGTTATAAATATTTACAATATTTGAATTTTAGTGAATTGAAAATTTGTGCAAGGAAAGTTTAAATTGGTTGTTTCATTTTAGTCATTGTCAGAAGAAAAAAATAGCCATTGCTTAAACTAAAGTAATCACTAATATTTATTTTTTATTTTAAATTGAGGGTATTTTAGTTATTTCATAAAAAATCATTAATGTTTGAAAGGTTATTAGGGACTTGGAAAGAATTGTAACATTTTGCAAGAACTCATTCACTTGCACATTTCAAGGGGTTAACGTGCATTTTTCCTTTACACTTTCCTTCGAGTAGCATTGAGCATCCTGTATTAGTTGGTGAGGAGGGGATTTTTATTCCTCTGAAAAATGGTTTAGAGAAAACTAACTCACTTATTACTATAGGATGCTCAATTCTCCTTAAAGGAGAGTATGGAGCAAAAATGTACTTTATGCCAAATATAAATACTACAAATATTAAGAATAAATACTGAAGAGATCAAGCTATTAAAAATATGCACTCAACCAAATTTTATTTCAATTAAGGATCTTTTTGTTTTCAATTTTCAAATTTTAAGGTTCTTAATTATAATTTATCTTAATTGATTTTTTTGTAAGAAAAAGAGCCAATTTTATTAATAAAAAAACAACTACACATGCTAATACCTGAAGTCGAAGAAAAACACAAAAAAAAAAACTTATCCAAACAATCTAAAACAAACTCACAAAAAAGATAAAAAACAAAACAAGAACAAAGAAGCAATATATCAACCGTTTCTTTTTTTTTTTTGTTCCTACTAATCCTAACACAATAAAAAACATAATTAATGTTAATTAACAAATTAGTAAGTATCAGATTAGACAAAGAAGATAGGATGAAGCTTCTTCAAACCATCCTGAAAGGTACATCTTCTTAGAATTCATCACTGCCAACCAATTGGTAGCTTCATTACCTTAGCAAACCACCAAAAAAAGAAAATATCATCGCTTGATTTGTTGATTGTAACACTCTCAAATTTACAAACCAATTTTTCACAAATTATTAATTTAACAAATCATTTTTTTTCATTGAACCCTTATCATGGTAGAAAAATTTCTACCATGATACATTCAAGACAATATACCACAAGTTTTAAAATATCTCAAAAAAACAATTAGAACCATGAGGGACAGATAGGATCCTCATGGCATGATATTCAAATTAAGTCAAGAATCAAGAATGACAAACATAATTCTCTTGGTCATATAAATGCATTTAATAAAAAGGATTAGAGTTTATATGTTGTCAAAATAAGATATGTCCTAGGTTGGCACAAGATACATTGCATAATACAAAATGAGAGGCAACGTAAAAGATGGTATCTCATACACTAAAGTTACGCCCCTAGTGCTTTCTCGACTAGACTTGCTCCTGTAAAAATGTTAACCACGGGGAATGAGACTTAAAAGTCTCAATAACCAAAAATTAATATGTAATGATGTATGCGGATGTAACTAATCATGCAATTACTAAGTGGGCACACAAAACATTTAACCGAATAATATTTTCAAATAAACCGAACAAGTATTTAATTGCATGACTGCATCTTATATTCTCCTTTCGCCATGCTCGGACGCCAAATCACCCGGCCAAGGGTGAGTTAGACCAAGCGACACGCCACTCATTGGGTCCAATGAGGGCTTACCACATGGTAATAATTAACCGAACAGAAATTTTCATTAACACCACATATTAAAATACCTTGACAAGTCATGCATCATTCAAATATCCAAACAGGAATATATCCGAACAATAATATCTCATCATGATAAACAAAAATAAATTGTTGACCCACTTGGCAATAATTTCAAACAAGTATATAACAGTATTTATTTTCAATAATTCATAATTTTTTCAAACAACAAAACAACACATAACCATTTACAAACACACTCATCACAACACATTAATAATGGTTACCTTGTGTCTTGAATAACAAGTTTCCCTTCACAACTCCTCTTTCACCACTATCTTTGTCAACACAATCTACATAGTTATTTCATAATACTATATATTAATTTTACATTAAAATAAATAACTCTAATTTAAAGAGTTAGAAAGTCTTAAATCTATAATTCATATTAACACTAATTTAAGATTTATGCCTCATTTAACTTTTCAAATTCTTTTCTAAAATTCTCATACCCTAATAAACTATTTTTAAGCCTCAAATCACTTCTAGTATCACAATTTCATCCTTCTATATTCTAAAAATTCATCCAAAAATAAATTAAAAATTTCAAAATTATCCTGAAGCCTCAAATCACCTTTCTATAACCTCAAAAATACATATTCATACTTAAATAAATATTTAATAATCAGAAGTTCATCCCTACATCTCAGATTCAACATAAATTCAATCATATAGATCTAGAGTTTAACTCAAAAATTCTTAAACATGAATTTCAACCTCAAGAAAATATTTTTAATATTTATTATATCCCTAAAAACTTCAACCTATATTTTTAATCCATCATATCATCAGATTAATTATCCTATAAAAAATTCTAATCAAAGTATTTGCTCTATTCTACAAAATAATCATATCACTAGAAAGCTAATACTATTTAGAAAATAACTATAAAATTAATTTTGTAATTAAATAATTTTTTAAATGCTAATCTAAACAAGAAAGTTGGAGCATACTTGAAGAAAAAGAAAATAATCTCCCCTTACGAGAACACGCCAAGTAACGTGAGAGGAAGAGAGAAAAATAATATAAAAATAGGATTGTGGGTCCCACAATTATATTAAAAAAAATATAGGTTTAAATTTAATTATTCAAATTCTTGGGCTAAAAATTATAATTTCCTCCAAATTGCATCTTAGCCCTTCATGCTTCCTAATGCACATACCCCTTCCTTTGTATATAAGAAGGCACCTCTTCTCTTTCCATATCTAACCAATGTGGGACTTAGAAACAATAACATTTCACCTTTTTTTTTGTTCCTTCCACCTCCTCTCTCTGTTTTTTTTACTAACACACATACATAAAAAAATTATTTATATATTCTAAATTTTAAAATTATATCTTAACTAAATTTTTCTTATGTGGTTTAAAATTTAAATTTTTTTAATTCATAATTAAATGCCTAACCATAATATTATTTCTGAATAACCTCAAATAATATAAATTCTTATTATTATTATTATTTTTTTAATCCTCAATAAAACCTAATTCCACAATTTCTTTATTATCTAAAAATCAGGATGTTACACTAATTGATATTATATCCAACACAAGATCATAACATTTTTAGTCATAATCAATATTCAAAATGCTTGATAATATTTTGAAGAGCACCTCACAATCAATTTCAATTAAATTCTTCTGACCATCAAACCTTCTACTTTCCTTCAAAGCCCTAATTGTTATTTAAAGAATGAATTTGTCATTTAAAAATTTTAAAGTTTATAAAATTTAAATTTAGACAATCTATACTAAAATTGAAAGGCTGGCTTGACTCAACCCTGCAATGTCACTCAACTCTACCCACCAAATCATTTGTTAGGCATTTTCAAATAATAGTTTAAAAGGTTAGATTCTCATTACTGCCAGTCATATGTGGGCTTCGAGCCCATTCCAATTAATGTTTTTTGTCATCATTTCAAACATTTTCTATTGATTAAGGGCCAAAAAATGTTTCCCTTGTTTTTTTTTTGTGCAAAAGGATTTTTTTCAAATTAATTTTTTGTAATTTGTAATCTTACAAAATGATAATATTATCACTGATTAGTTGTTGGGCATATTATGTCTCCAGCTAAAACGTATGGAATCTCAATTTTATATTTTATTATGTGTCAAATATAGTAAAGAATAAAAAGACAAAAGTACCTACCAAATGATCAATTAGGAGCATCTGGTA